TTCGTACTCCTGGTCCTTTCTTTCTGTGTGCCCAACTTGTAGGCATCGCTTCTCTGATGACGTTGTCGTCGACGGTAGACACATCTACCTCGTCGTAGACGTCATGTAGCTTCATTTGGTTTGACTCGTGTTTATTCCTTCCAGTAGATGTGTTTCGTCGTAACCTTCGTTGTCGAAGATTACGGGTTGGTCTTCTGAGGTGTCGTCGTTTGTGTAGGGATTGATGGATTTTCCGTTGGGAAGTGTCACTGCGTTGATTTTCTGTCGTAGTGGTGGTGGTTCTTTGGTTGCTTGCTCCGTTGATCTGATTGTAGTGTCCTTTGAGGTCTTCTGTGCTTTAGTTGGTTGCATTACTTCTTCCGGAGTTAAACGTCTTAGTGTTTGTCGAGGTGGTGCTGGTAGTGGCGGATGTTGCCGTCCGGTTGGTGAAGTAGCCATAGGGCTATCCGGTAGTGGTGGTGACGTAGTACGTTGTTGTTTTGTTGTGGGTTCCACGACGATGTCGTCCGTCCGTTCGTCTGTTATCCGAAGTCTTTCGTAGATCGTCTCTTCTCTGACGATTGTAGTTGCGTGTCCAACAGTGTTGCGAACGATGGGTTGTAGGTGTTCCGTCGTGGTGCCCATGGTGTGCCGGAAACTTTGTTCAACAGTGCAAGGTCGTACTTGAAGTCCGGTTGTAGTCTCCGTACTGTTCGTACCTTTTGTACGCCTGATTCCGTTGCGACGTAGTTTTCTCCGGTTTCGGAAACTTTTCCGAGCCAGATGCATTTCTGCATCCGTAGGTCTGCTTTTGGAAGTTTCTTGTGTTGTGGTGGAAGGTAAAGTAGTGTCTCGCCGAATTCGCAGATTGCTCGCTCGTAGTTTCTTCCCCAGCGGCGTTCAAAGCTTGTGTAGCCGTCTGAGTGGATGACGTAGCGATTTACCGTCCATGCTGCATGTCGTACTATCCAAGGTAGTAGACAGTGCTTTGTGGACATCGTCATGCTGTAGTTGCTTTCAACCTGCGCTTTGACAACGCGTACCTGTCCGAGGAGTGTTCGGTGTAGTCGCTCAACACTTCCTTGACTGTTGCTGCTGTAGGGGGTGCATGCCTAACAGTCATTGAGCCGACTTTTGCTGCTGTAGCCTCTAGAAGTGCGTTGAGTGTGTCTTCGTTGTCGCTTTGTAGTATGCCTTGTGTTCTTCCGCACTCAAAGATGAATGCTTGTAGGTTGTTGACCATGTAGTCCATCATTTATGGTTTGTCCGGGACCATTACTGCCATACACAGTTGTGTAGTAACATCAACTGCTGTCAGTACTGGTATGGTCTTTGGGTCTTGTTGTGATTTCATGTAGGCGAAGTCTACTTGAATGACGGGTTGTCGTGATTGTTGTTTCTTGTAGTTGTCTTGGCGTCCTTTGCCTTGAACGCAAATTGGACACCAGTTTCTGTATGGTAGGTGTGTAAGATTGTGTTCTGCTATTTGTTGTGGAGTGGGCTGCTGTGGTTGTCGTAGTCCTCTTGCTCTGTGTGCTTCATGATGCTCGTGTTGTTGTTCCTCATCGCGGCTCTCCTGGATGTACTCGTAGTCTTTCTTCACGGTGAACCTTGTTGTTCCTTTCCATTGAAATGGTAGTGCTGCGTTGCCCATGACTGTCCAGTCATCTTTGCGTTGTGAAACTTCTCCAAAGTTGTTGTGAGTGATTGTAGTTCTGTGGGGTTCAAGTGTGCTGATTGGTGGTGTCCTGGTCCATCTGTTGGAGTGAAAAGAGTTGTTCTAAGTGTTGTGTGGTGTCTTAAGTCTTATCCAGTGTTCACCTTGTCTTTCCCAGTAGTCTTGGTTGTCCTCCTGTGCTGTGAGTGGTCTGTGGGTTGTCTCCTTTGGTTGTGTGGTGTCAAGATTTGTAGAAGGTGCTGCTTTAGGTCTCCATATCTTTTGCGGCGCTCGTAGTTGGATCTTTGATCTGGTTGGTGTGTCCATTAGCCGTTGTGGTTGTGAGCTCTGTCTTGTTGGTGTGGTCTTTGATGTTGCTCTGCGTGTAGGTGTTATCTTTCTTCTGAATCTGGTTTCTCCAGTCCAGTTGTCACCTTCTAGTCTTCGTTGTAGTTCTTGAATGGAAAGTTGTGTTGGGTTCTCTTGTAGTTGTTCTTGCTCTTGCCCTTGTCTGTTGACGATGGTTAGTCGCCAATCATGTAGTTCTCCTTCTGGTATTGGGCAACCACTGTTGTGTGGTGTGAACAATGCTTTGCGTGGTCGTTTGTGTACTCTGATGGCGTAGCCACCATCAAGTTTCCAGTAGTCAGTGTTTCCACCAAGGATCTGTCGCAGTCCTTGGTCTGGGCGGGTGAGTGGTGCAATGTGTTCTTGTTGTTGTGTTGCTTTCTCTGTAGGTTGAATCACAGCAATGGATTTTCCATACAGACAATGGAAAATGCATTGCAGTCATTGGGTAGATGTCGAATCCTGTAGGTATGTCGATCTTCTCTGCTCGTAGGTAGAAAAGTCCTGAGTGTCTTATGAGGTGTGCTTGTTGTTGTCCATGTGTGACGGTGCGTCAAGTATCCTCTATCAAGTAGTCTTGACGCACTGAGGATTGGATACTTCACATCACAAACGTAGTCGGGTATCATGATCCTGAAGTTGTCCTGCTTGTAGGGAACGTACTTGATGCCGTAGACAGGAATCTTCTTGTTGGTAACCGTGTAGAGTTGTGGAACTGATTCTCCACAAGGTCGTAGCGGTAGGTCTGGCGCTTAGTCCTTCGGGCAAACATGTGTAGATGCTCCTGAGTCGATCAACAGGTGGTGGTATGACTTGAAGTTGGAGTACATGATGTAGTGTGTGATAGTGTCCTCAATCTTCTTATTCCTTTGTTGTTGTCTTGCTGCTGCTATGTCGAAGTGTAGCTGTGTGGTGTCTTCTTGTAGGAATTGTTGAAAGCTCTTGCTTTGGTCGTTCCATGATGTTGTGTGTGTTGTTCTCTTGCCAAGTAGTGATTTGGATTTGTGCTTGTGTAGTCGTGACTTTGCTTGTCTGATGTGTCCAATGGTGAGGTGTGACTCGTTGATGCCTCCAATGTAGTTTGCTGTGTCCTCATAGCTGTTGTCATTCCAATCCCAGCTGTTGTCATAGTCGTAGTCGTTCCAGTTCTCCTCCATGTAGTTCACCTCGTGTTGTCCTTCTTCTCCTTCGCAGTACCAGTCCCAGGTGTCGTTCACATCCTGAGGTAGTTCTTCACTGTTGTCATGATCTGTTTGTTCTTGTTCTAGTGGATGTAGTTCTTCTTCTTCTCCTATGTGCCATACTGGCACTCTGCAGTCTTGTGCCCAGTGGCCAGGCTTGCCACATCGATGGCATGTTGTGTAGTTGTTGTTTCCTTTTCCTTTTGATTTGCTGTAGTTTCCTTGGCCTTTGTAGCCTTTGCTTGATCCATATCCTTTGGATCCTGAGCAGCCCTTCCCTTACTCTTGTTGTATCCTCCTTTGCTGTAGTTTCCTTTGTTGCCTTTGTCGAATCCTTTGTAGTGTCCTTTACTCCTGTACTTGCCTTTGCTTTTGCTTCCTTTGTAGTTGCCTTTGCCTTTTCCTTTGCCTTTGTAGTTTCTTCCTTTCCTCCATATGTTGTCAACATCCATTGGTGCAGCTCCTCCATTGTAGTTTGTTCCTACTGCTGAAGTCGATCTCGTGAAGGCTGAAATCGTCTTGGAGTAGTCCAAGATGAGTGCTCTGATCTCGATGTAGTTCGTGATCTGTCCAGCTGGCAGTTTGAGATGTTGCTGCAGTGCTCCTTTGGTTTTGTTGAGTAGTATTGCTATTTTGATTTCATCTGGTAGTGCTGTTCCATTGTCTTTCTCGTAGCGGTTGATGTCGTATTCCCATTGTAGAAATTGTTCTTCACACTGCGCTTCGTTGAATGTAGGTTCCAGTAGTTTGGTGAGGTAGCCAACGCTTCTTGTTCCTACTGGTAGGCTGAACCTGTTGTGTCGGAGTCGTAGTGTTTCACTTGTAGCGGTTTTGCCTTACTACTGTTGCTGCTGCTCCCTGACAGATGTTGATGAGGATGTAGTGTAGATCTCTGGAGAGGTCTACTGCTTTGCTTGCTTGTGTAGGGTCGAGTATGTGTGTTCTGATGTCTGTGTCCTCAATCTGTCGTGTAGCCACTTGTGCTAGTTGTAGCACCAGGTCGAAGTCTCGGTCTATGAGGCCGAGGTATGCTTGTAGCTTGAACAGCCATTCTTCATACTGGGAGTAGTCACCAGTGAAGAAGGGTGGTGGCAGTTTGTATCTATGTAGTCTCTGAACGTCGTTGTCTTGTTCTGTTCCTTCTCCCGTAGTTGTGGCTCCTACTGTGTCTGCTGTTGGCCCGTTCTCTGCTCCTGCAGTTTGTTGTGCTGAGGCTGATGCTGCTTCTCCTGACATGTCGTAGTAGTTTGGCATGTGACTGCTGTTGCTGTGGTTGTAGTACTTACTGCTTACTGGAGCTCCCCTATGTTTAGGATCTCAGCTCCGCTACCACGTTAAATTCGGTTGATACTTTCACTTACAAGTGCAAGTGCTGTAGTGTTCAAACAAACAGTCAACCAATGTAGTCTGCAGCTGCCAACCTTTTCACTCATGCGGAGTAGTAAGCTCAAGGCCTGCGGTAGTGAACATACATGCAACACAAGTGCAAAGTGAAGCATGTAGTTTGACATCTTTCCCTCTGGGTCGGAGACTGCACTGGGCTCAACTCGCCACAGCCTTTGCTTTGTTGGTTCTCCGTCATTTCCCCTTTCACCTTTTGCAGGGTCGACATTGTAAGATCCGCAGATCACATCAGTTGCCAAACCTTTCCGGCAGCCCTTTGGCTCCAGCTGGACCAGGCGAGACTGCCAACCTTCTTGAAAGCGGGGATCAGGCACAACGAATTTCCGAATGCGACCGGAACAGATTCTGAAGCTGACAGCTGACTCTTCTGAGGTCGATTGAGTTCAGTTTGGCGATTTCGGCAGCCCTTGGCACAATCCCGTGTGCCGTCCATGGGCTGCGGCCAGTCAAGCTTCGTGCCACCGGTCGCCTCAAGGGCGGCATGGCAAAGCTTTTTTCGCCTGGACGGGTTGCCGCTCAGTTTGACTGTTGAGCCACTCGCGAATCAGAAGGCAATGGTGCAAACAAATGGTGAACAAACCCAGACCCTCTCTGTGGAGTTGAAATGCGGATGTCAGTTAGACATCTTTCAACCGGTGGGCCCAACCTTGCCCGAAGGGCTTGCACTTGCGGATTGTGGGCCTCGACTGCGCCGAAGAGTTGCCTTTGTTGGAGACGGCATTGGCGAGGCGAGAGCTCTTCATCAAATCTGCCACACTAGTGAAGATCGGGTGCCACGTGGACCAAAGCTTCGAGCTCATGCCGTTGGCCACTTGCCTCCGCTTGAACTGACCTTTTGGGTTTTGCTTTGCCCCCTGTGTTCCCAAAAGGTCGACCGTTTCTGAGTTAAGGCAAGCCAGCTCAAGAAGCAGAAGCAGAATGAGGACCTCGAGGTCAGCCAGGTGTCTGCCGTGGAGGTCCTGGACTCGGTGCCACAAGCCGCTGCCGCTTTGCCCGCGGACGTGGCGCAGGTGCTGCGGATCTCGGTCGATTGCCCTGCGCGGGGCGGGGAGCGTGCTGCGGTCATGGCCATGATGCGAAAGCTGAGCTACAAACTCATCGCGGGCCACAGACTCCGCCAACGGCATCTGCGACGCCTTTTACATCACCCCGGATTCGGAGCTGAAGGGCTCGGCGAAAGCAGAGGACCTGCTGGCGGCCGAGTTTAGGTCGGCGGTGTTTTCGCACTTGCACAAGACCATCTCCACAGCAACTGTGAAATCCCAAAATTCCATGGCTGCCGGTGAGAGCATGATGGAGCACATAAGCAACAGAGCCAAGCAGCAAGGCATGGTTGCGTGCCAAAAGGGGCTCAGTGAAACCTTGGGGATGGTTCAACAGGCGTGAAAAGAATTGCCTTCGCCCCCACCTCAGGTGCCTTGCAGGACTTGCCCATCGTACTGCGGGATTTGCAGCGGGGCTTGGAATATCAGCTCCACGGTCCTGCCAGCAGTGGCTTGCTCATCGATGGCTTCTGGAAGTATGTGGGCATCGGTTTGGCCCAGCGGAGCCTGCAGGAGATGCTGGGCTTCAAGGAAGCGGCCTCGCCCTCCTTGCTCTTAGAGGTCCGCACTTGCTTCGTCTCTGAGAAGGTGGCTTTCTCAAAGACCCCACAAATGAAGATCGTGTCCTTTCGGGTCTTGAAACCCATCCTGAAAATTGGCACCCAGGTGGCCAAAAGCTGTGGCCAATTCGCGGAGTTCTCTCACCTCTTGCATGACGCCATTGTTGGCACGCAGGAGTTCGCGAACTTCGTGCCACTCGCTAAGGAAACACCATCTTTTGGTTTCCCCGTTAGCGCATGTTTGGTGCAGCGATCCCGAGTAAGAAAAACATTCTACTGGGCTGGTTGGTGGACTACCCCAAAAAGACCTGTGGGGTTGTGGTTTGGGGGTGTAAGTGAAACCATCTTGTGTGTGTGGATTGAGGTCCTGGCTTGACATCCCGAACCGCACATGGACCATCGACCGAGTCTACTTGAACGGGGTACTGCCGGCGGGAAAGCGCTATGGCGCTAGGGCCATCGCGGAACACCTGCTGGAGCCACCCTTGCTCTTCTTTCAGAGCCAGTCGTCGGCACAGAGTCTTAGCCTAAATTAAGAAAACCCTTGACGGGTGGGTTGGATCCAGAACCCAAGCCAATTCGGGGGGGGGGGGAAGGGAAAGATTTCTCAAGCCGCAGACTTTTCAGAGGCTTCGGCTTTCCAGATGCTGAAAGTTGTGTTGGCTTTCCAGATGAGCCTGTTTTCTTTCGAATTCTGGGGCTGATCAATATTGTTGGCCACCTAAATGACCAAATGACCATAGGTGACTGTATTCCTGGTTTCTTTGCCATAATTGGGCTTACTTAGATGCTAGCTTGGTCCAGTTTGATCATGTTCTTCAGGCCGCAAAAGGTGAATTAACTTTGTCAGGTCTTTTTTGGATTGTGGGCGAAATCGAGTTTCGTCGGTTGACCCACCTTGGTGCTTTCCGGGTCCATAGTGATGGCCAGTGGTGGCAAGCAGATTCGCTACGGAGTTCGATGCCCTCTGAGGATCGGCAGCTTCTTGGATTCCATGCCGGATCTGGAGAAGTTAGTGGTCAGCGACATCGTAAATTGCAATACCTATCTGCTGATGGCTGTTGTGGGCACTTCAGAGGCGGAGACCAACAAAAAGGTGGGAGACGTTTTGGGCTTTGCTCTTGACACGGAGTTGAATGCTGCTGGCTTGAGCAGAAAGATGCTCTTTCACGGGTCGGTCTTGGAGGTCTTTCAAAGTACAGTCCTGGGAAAGATGGCATCAGGGGCGTTGGCGATTTGGAATGAGAAGCTGAACAGAGCCATCAAAATGAAGTCCGCAGAGGTGGTTTACGGTGCCGGGGATGAGGAGATCTTTGGCCAGCGCAGGCCACGAATGGCCGTGATAGTGCAGCTGATGGAAGAGCATTCTGAGATGCGGGCAAAGAGGAGACTGGGCACTGACAAAGTTGCAGTGCCGAAGGCCACCGAGTTTGATCTGGAGAATCCCACGTCGCCACTAGAGGGCATGGGAGCCTGCTTGGAAGGAGTTTGGGGCAGGAGGCATTCCAGAGTTCAACTTCCTGCTGGTGCCATAGCTAGACTTACCCTTACCGTGTTCACTTTTGCCTTTGAAATTTGGTGGGTGTCCTTTTTGCTCTTCCTTCAAACCAACAGCAAGTTTTGACCGTTTCAGGTGGTCCAAGCCAAGGTACGAACGGTCCACACTATTTTGCAGGTTTGTCGACTGCCATGACTTGTCTACTGCACGAGATGCAGGTTGCTTGGTTGCTCTCTGGAACGTCGTTGACCTTGAAAACCCTGTGGTTCCCAGTTCGGTTCGCCGTGGACCTGTTTGAAAATAAACTGCCTGGCCACTGGGCTACTATGGTCCTGTTTCCAGGGTTGCTCCAAGCCTCAAACCGACCAAAGCAGGGTAAAAAGCTGGTTAAGTTTTGTTTGTTGCCCTGCCGATCCGAGCAACCCTGGCTTCCCAAGCAAGTTGACCAGAACAAGGGTCATGGAACTTGAGCAGAGGTCCCGTTCAAAGCAAATGGTCGGAATCTTCGGGATTTTCATGGGACCAAGGTTGAGCGAGGCCTTTCGTGCCGTGCCACAGCTGCCACTGGCAAAGCCATGACCGCCGTGGACAGGTTGAAGAGCCAACGAGGCAGCACTGACACGCGCCAGCATTCATTGTTGTTGAAGGTTGTTGAACTTTGTGGTTTCTTTCTTTATTTATTTATTTGTTTCTTTTGTTTCTGTCTTCGTTTGTTTCTGTCCTTCTTTATTTATTTGTTTGGTTGTTTGTTTGTTTGTGTTTGTTTGTTTGTTTGTTTGTTTGGTTGTTTGTTTGTCTGTCTGTCTGTTTGTTTGTTTGTTTGTGTGTTTGTGTGTTTTGGTCAGAGTTCCCAGCAATCGTCGAGCTTGTTTTGGCCAACCGCTGGGTGATTTGATCCGACTTGTGCTGGTGAGCTTGGGCTTGTATATGTGTGCGGTGCGGAACGCTTCGTCGTTCCCAGGTGTCCTCTGTGGTTTTTTGGGTTTAGCGGTAGTTTCCACTAAACCAACAAAGGTTAAACTATTAGCAGGGATCTGGGAACAGCCCAGGTTGCAATTCCTGCTGTTTTGATTGAAAAGAGGTGGTAAAGTTTGAGTTCGCATTTTTGTTGGGAGAACTTAGTTTGGCAACTTTTACACGCGCTGAGACTAGCTTAACTGTGTCGAGTGGTCCCCAGTTCCCATCTGCTTGTTTGTCGTAAGTTAGTGGGAAGCCCGATTGTTTTTGTTTCCGTTGTATAAACATTCATCGCGCATCCCTATTGAGACGAAGCCATGCTTTGGCCAAATCTAAGGACAGGGTCTTGGCACAGCTTTCAGACCTGGTGCAACTGGCTTTTGGCCTCATGGAGAAAGGCGTTCTCAAAAGCAGGCACAAGGACCGCATTCACCCAACCGGTTTTCCTGTAAGGTCCTCTTTGTCAATCCTTGGCCGCACATGGGGGGGGGTTGGGTTCCGTTGGATTTGGCGCACGAGGAGGTTTTGGCGTGGCATCAAGAGATCTCCGTGGGCATCGTCTTGCAAAGAGGCTTAGTGAACGACGCCATCAAGCACACGATCTCCACATGGATGGGCCGCTATGCGACTGTTTGTGCCACACCCGACACCGGCTATCACGTACTAATTGACAAGCTGTTGAAGAGCATTTTGAAGGTGATAGGCTTGGCTTCGGAGGGGCTGGACCTGTCACCTCAGCCTGACCCGTTTGGAAAGGTGGAACGCCTCGAGCGCTGTAGCTTGCTATTGCGGTTCAAAGAGCACATCGGGCGGGAGAGGGGCCTGCTGGCAGCCAAAGGAGAATCCAGATGGACCGAGGAGGTCGAGGATCGGGCAAAGCGCATCTTCGCGGAGACGACTGACGGCACTGACGAGTTGTTGCAGTCGATTTTGGACGACAAGCTGCTAGGCCATGCAACCGAGAGCAAGGCTCTTGTAGATGCCTTGACAGAAATGCACGGTTTTTACAAGAAGGAAGTGGAGCAAGCAGATTTCCGCATCCCGGCAGAAAAGGCTGTCCAATGGTTTGAGATCTTCACGCATTGGATCCAGTTTGCCTATGACCATCTCCAAACCGAGCTTGAAGCCCTGGTTGAAGATTTGCCAGAAGACAACATCGCCCAGCCAAGGGTTGACGTTGATTTGCGGGTGACGCCGGAGGAGGATGCAGGCGATGAAGATTTACGACAACTCCTCTCCGATCTCAGAGCAGGCACGCTGCGAAAAGTCGTTGTCATGGTCGGCGCTGGCATCTCCGTCTCCGCGAATTTGATTTCCGATCCAAAGGTGGCCTTTATGACCAGCTGCGCCAGAGCACCAACATCAGCTCCCCAGAGACAATCTTCACCAGGGAATTCCTGCAGTCTGACCCTCAGGTCTTCTTCGAAGCGATGCAGAAAATTCGTGCTGACGACGTGTCTCCAACAGTCACTCATCAATTTATCAAGCGGCTGCAGGAGAAGAATCTGCTGCAGAGATGCTACACCCAGAACATTGACTGCCTCGAGCGGAAGGTTGGCATTGAACCGCATCTCTTGGTAGAATGCCATGGAACCACGGCAAATGCAAAGTGTGACGACTGCAGAAAGGTGTGCAGCAAAGAGGTCTACTTCAGGAATGAGACGCCGCCAAAGTGCAGCTGCGGTGGATCCATTCGCCCAGATATCGTCCTCTTCGGCGAGACGTTGCCAGACAGCTTTCAGAAGCTCTCGAAGGACGACTTTCAAGCTGCAGCTCGGGAGAAGTGTTGACCTTTGGGCGTTGTGTCCCGGAATCACGATTCCCACCACACAATTTAGAACGGCTTTGGAGTCTAGCAGTTCTTTGAGCACCTAGCCGTTTTCTTTCTTGACTCGTAGCCTTTGGAGGCAGGCCTGCTGATTGTGATGGGCACCTCCTTGAAGGTGCAGCCCTTCGCGTCGCTGCCGAAGCTTCTGAAACCCAGCTGCGCGGTGCTGGTGATCAACCGGGAGTTCCCACAGAGCCTTCGCAGCAAAACCCAGCTGCATCTCCTTGTTTTGTGGTCAGCGCGGTTGCAAATAGATGGAAAGGTTTCAGTTTGGTTGGATTCTCATGAAGGCTTTGACAACATATATATCTTATATCTTCCTTTGTACTTCCTGTCATTCCTGTCCTTAACTTTCCTCGCCACCCCCGAAGCCTCAAAGGTTGTCAGCTCACGGGAGAAGGGTATGGGTCAAAATTTCAGCCACCGGGAGACTGCAGGCTTTCCAGGATTCCATCCAGCCAGAGCCATTTTGGAATTATCCTATTGACCCACAGCATTGGCAACACAGCCTGCATGTTGGGGTTTCTGGGGTTTATCCATTTCCCTTCAGGTGTCCCTTCAAGCTTTCCTTTTTGGGTATCCTTTGGGTATCCCTTTGGGTTTCCGGTTGGGTTTTTCATTCAACCCACCAAACGTTAAACGTTTAGCAGTCAGAAAACGGATATGGTCGATCGGTATGTTAAAAGCGCGGGTGTTGACCAGGGTCTGGAATATATCTTACAAATTTGATGGGGACGACGAAATGCTGGTCTTATTCCAGAGTCTTTAAACGCGGATTTCCAATTTTGGTTATTGAAAGAAGGTGTTTCTTTAGCCCTTGGTCTTGTCTTTGGGCGCGCTGTGGTTGGGCTCGTTCTGAGTTCTGACCCCGCTTCTCCAAAATGGATCGCTTCGCTTCCGAGGAGCCTGCAGCTCCACCGCCAGGTGCGCGCCCTGCGCAGTCGGCTCAGCGGCACGAAGCTGCGGAGGCACGTCTTCCTGGCCGGGGACTGCGACACCAGCAGCTGAGCAAAGAAATCGGGAAGGGCCTGGCCTCGGATTTTTTGTGTCCTACTTGGTGGTTTGGTGGTTTGGTTAAGGCCTGGTCATTGGTGATTTGGGTTGGAGGTTCGGGCTGGTTTCCCGTTGAGCTAGAAGAACCAGGGGTTCCAAATCCAAATCCCACTCATGCCTGGCCACCAAGCAGAGAGTTACCTGATTTGTCCTATCCGGTCAGGGTTCATAGTCTGGAATTTGTGAGCAGGCCTGCTTTCTCATATGTATGGTGTCCAACGCGCCGCTGTCGGCAGATTTTTTTTGCCAGTGCCGTCTGGTCCGGTGCTCTTCCGAGTTTGTTGGGGTGTTTCTGCGGCTGCCTTCCTTTCACCCAGCTCAAACCCTGTTGTTGGCCGCTCCTTTTTTTTGCCATGGAAAATGAAGCTAGAAGGGGGTCCACTAGCTTATGAGCAACCATTTGCACGCGGGTGATTCGGTTCTTCGATCCAGCGAGGTGTCCGATGGCTCATGCATGAGGTCGGATGGACGTTTCACCGTGTAGTCTCCGTCTAAACCCACGGTGGGCACTGCTGGCTGGAGGTCGCAGGCCACTTCACTGGGCATGGCCAGAGCCCCTTGAAGGATGCACTGAACAAAACAAGGCACCTGCAAACCCGAGTTGACCCAACAGGTACAGGTTGTTAGGTGGTGTTCAACATGGCCAAGATCTATCCTTGAAGGAACCCCGCGTTGCTAGCTTGGCTCTTAACGTCTTGCACTCTGAAAGTAGATGGCTCAATTTCTATGCAGGTGTCTCTCTTCTTTCTTTAAAGCCCTCCTTTTTGGTCGGGTGAATTCAAAAGAATGCCAACATGAATACAACCATTTGGGGGGCCTTACTTCGAGAGGAACCCATACGTAGTTTTCTTTATTATCATCATTGCGTGCCGGCCGACAAAGAAATTTGAGCCATTGGCTTTCAAGCCACTGCAAGCCTCGTGAAGGCGAGCGTCGTGAGAGCAAAGACGTGCCCGCGAGCGCCTGACTTGCAGGATCTGCGGAACGCGGGGTGTCTTTTTACTGGGGACCCTCTTTTGGTTGGTGTTTAAAGGCAAGACAAAAAGAACGCCTCCATTTTGGGCACAAAAAAACATGTCAGCAGTTCCAGAAATGATCATTGTTCGCCCTGGTATTCAGCTCACGTGTTGCTTGCGGCTTGGAGCCGAATGGCAGATGCTTCTACATCCTGCCGCTATTTGCCAAAGGAAGAATTGTGACTGTCCCCAATGAAGCTACCTCACTGCGGTCTACGCATGTTTTTCGTAGCAGTCAGTAGTTTTGGGGCAGTCGAAACTTTCTAAGAGGAGTTGTGGCCAATCACCCTTTGCAGCTGCTCTTAGGATGAAGGGTATACCACGCAGGCAGACTATATTCTTACAAGGCCATTTGCATTTGTCGCTGACACATATCCATTCATTAGACTGCAAGAAGCACATCGCTTTGTTCTAGCCTGCAAAAGGGTTAATTTACAGAATCCAATGCCCAGGTTAAGCTATGTCATTGACCTGGAGGGACTGCTTTGCCTCAGCAAATCGGCACTTTGTTGCTTAATGTTTCACCTGGAGTGCAAGTTGGCAAAAACAAAGTCATGTCAACAACCGGATGATGCGATCAAAAGCCTATTGCCCGTTTTGGAAGGCCGTGGGGCGACAACCCAAATTTCCTGCAAGCATCAGGGCGTGCAGAAAACAGGGTCCCAAAAAGGATACGCTGGCCGCATCAAGAACAACCTTTAGCATAGGTGGTTTTCCCGGGATTCTGTTGGGGCAACAAGTTCACCAACCATTTGGGCGGGTCAACATGTCCAACTTGTGTAGAACTTATGCCCCCACTCTCTAACAAACAGAATGACCCTGACAATCAGGGGTCCTTGGTAGACAAATGCTCTTTACGTTTCGGAAGGCACCTATGCTGTTGTTGGACAAAACTGTGCACCAGTTGGGATGGCTAAAACCCTTTGAAGAAGTGTGTCTTTTTAAATGCATCCCAAAAAATGGCGCAGCGGTTTTTCTCTTGATTTTCCTTTACCAAAAACGGGGTCCCAACTCCAAAAGACGAGCCATGGACAAACCACTCCCAACTACCAGGGCTGGAAGCCAGGCGGCCCGCGACCTCGCCGCCGCCCAGCGACGCTGTCGGGCCTGGATTCCCAGAGACGTAGAAAGTGACTGGACTCCGGTTCCTGGACTTAAAACTTTTTGGGTAGAACTTGTTTTGGCAACACAACCGAAAGGTGTTGAACTGGTTTTGGCCAATTCGCGGAAGTGAGAAGAGGACACCCACATACCCGAGTACTTTTGAGGCAAAAGGCTGTGCGACCAAGCACTCCATAGCCAGCAGAACCAACTTGAGTTTGACTTTGAAGAGTATTTCTCGGAGAGATCACATGATTTTTGAGATCCCCACCTGGTTTTTGGTGGCGTTTGAAAGGCCGCCAGAAGTAAATCAACTTTTTGGTCCTGCCCACACGTTCCCTCAGGACGCATTGCCCGGTGCATTGTGGTCTTGGCACGGGGGAAAGATAGGCCAACAGCCGAGTTGCCCCTGGGGCATTCGTTTCTTTGCGCCTCGCAGCTGTTCCATCCGACTCGAGTCGGCGCCTCGCGCCCCATGGGCTGCGGGCAGTCGAGCTTTGTGCCGCCGGTGGCCTCGCGGGCGGCATGGCAAAGCTTCTTCCGGCTCGACGGGCTGCCGCTGTCCTTGACGGTCGAGCCGGTTCAGAAGGGCCTGCGCCTTCGTGTCGCTGCCAAACTTAGCTTTGCTCGTTGGGTCCAAAATGTCCTTTGGAACCTGAAGATGTGCACACATGGCAAAAACCTTGACCTTTTGGAGGCCCATGACCAAGCCAGCTTGTTGAAAATTGTTTTTCTATCGGACCCGGCAAACCGCTGAGTTCGTTTTTGTGGGTCGTGAGACTTCTGAGATCAAGGTATCGTAGGCGTGGATTCTGTGGATGAGCTGCCTTTGCTCGAGGCGGCCTTAGCCAAGCGAGAGACACGGCAGACTAGCCTCCCAGTTCAGAGGTGTCCGATCCCTCCGTCGATGTTTACGCTCCCTCAGACTAACATGGAGGCTCCCAGAAGGGCTCTGTGAATGGAACCAAGTCTTCCAAAGGGGTCCTCAGAGCTTCCATGGTAGTCTGGGGAGTGAACTGCCTTTTTACGCTTTTCCATGTTTGGTGTTTCTTCTTTTGTTGGGGTGGGGTCATAGTTTGGCTCGCTGAGGTGGCCGAAAAAAGGCCCTGCAAGTAAGGAGATGCTGATCAAGTCGGGCACCCTGATCAAGATCGGGTGCCATGTGGACCAAAGCTTCGAGCTCATACCCTTGCTGCGCAACCAACTCAGGAAGCAAAAGCTGAAGCAGGATATCGAGGTGCGCTTCGAAACGAGTCAAAAGGCACAGTGACTTGTCACTGGAAGTGGTTTGGCTGAACAAGTTCCAACTGATAAAGCATGGAATGTCGAAAACGACCATCCTTCCAATTGAAAGACCAGCTGTGCTATTGTGTGCTTTTGTGCGCTGAAACGATCCCCCCCCATCAACAAACCAGCTGTTGTGCGGTGTGTTGCTTGTTGGCCGGAAAAGCTAGATCAAGAAGCCAGCTGGACCAGTCCAACCTCACAAACATGTTTCACACTACGTGAAGAAGGCAACTGTACAAACAGCTGAATTAGGGATGAGAAACGTGGGAAAAAATCAGGGCACACACCGCACTGGTCTGGCTCAACTGCACATAATCCTTTACTTATAAACTGGAGGGGTGTGGTGACGGGGGAGCAGGTGGCGGGAGAGGTTGTGGGTCCATGTCTCTTCATTGCCAGACTCAACTTACCTTGTGAACTGCCTGTTTGTTTTTGTTTTCCGGCAAGTTGTCCCGTCCAAACAGCAAATAGTTGATACACTTTCTGCAGAGGCTAAGTCTCTAAGTCTGGTTTCAAGTCAATTATATCTTTAATGCAAGTTGGCAGTTTGGAACATCGCCTTGTCCACCAGAAAAAAGAGAAAGGACACAAGTTTCAGGGAGAAGTATACAGGTAGGAATTAAACTCCTAATAGTAACCAGTTGGCGGATTGTCATTCAGTTGTACCCGGTCCAGGTGGGTTTTATCAAAACCCAGCTGTTCAGTGGCACTTGTTGAATTCTTGTTTGGTGGATTTCCCACGGACAACTATCAACCCAAAACAGGTCCCCTTTTTTTGCCGCTCGCGTCACCGAACAACCGGGTAAGCACGATGTCTAATCAGAACATTTTTTGTCTTGGACTGGGAGGTGAGGAGGCTTACATAAACGAATACAAGTCATGCCCCGACAGTAGAATTTATCACCTCTCCTCCAAAACCCCTCTCCCGTTCTAAGATCTCCAACTCTTTTACGGCCTTTTTGCAAGTGGCTTGGACCGTTGCGGAACACGGAACTGTGTTCCGCAGGTGACCTCTTGCACCGTGGCCGACGTCCTGAATGCGGTGCCCCAGGCCAGTTTGTGTCTGGGGTACCCCATAAGTGATGTCGTTTTTGAATCTTCAAAGCCACCCAAAAGGGTAACTAAGAAGGACGGATTTGTACTGGCAAGTCGAACTTCCCTGAAGGCAATTCGACATTGCCTTTCAACCACTGAACTGGAAGCCAAATGGTGACTGGGACATCGGCATGTGGAACTCTTCGAATCTCGGGTTCCGAAACTCAAAAATAAAGCCTGCACCAGGGAGAACTATCAAACACGTACCTCTTTACACTGGGTGTGTGTTTTTAGGAATCTGACCGAGACCCAAAATGGGGCAACGGCATTCCACAAAAAGGGCACCAAGTCCCAAAAACGCCGCACCACCCATATTATTTTCCCTTATATCAACATGAATATGGCTGGTCAAAACCTGTGCACCAAAAGGGTTTCCGTTGCCCAAGAAAAACCGGCCCTCTGCGTTCTGACGCAGGCCGGAGCCGCGCTGCCCGCGGTTTCGCAGGTCCTGAAGCTTACGGTGGATTGCCCCGCGCGGGGCGGGGAGCGCACAGCGGTCATGGGCATGATGCGCCACTCGCTTGATCTATGTGGATTTTCACGAAATCCTCTTAGGCACCACCGAAGAGACCCCGGAATGAGTCGATTCCCCAGCAATTACCAACAAGCTATGGTTTTCCATGGTTTTAATAGCGGTGCAGGATTTCGTCCATCCACCCTTCCTACTATCATGGCATTTGGAGGGTACCTGGAAGATCAGTTTCCTCTTGAAGGTACCTGTCAGGTGCCACGTTAGTGGGTAACGTGGGAGGGAGGGTAGTTTGAGAAGAAACAGGGCCGTCTATTTTCCAAATGGTCAACAGTGTTTTGTTGTTATTTGGGTGTGTTGTCGGGCTTGTGGTTAGTTGTTTGTTCAAGTGTTTGCGTGCTGGTTCTGCGTTTCGTTGGTTGTCTTTGTCTGGTTGTTGTTTGTCAGATTTTGTGTTAAGGGAAGCTTCTCGTCAGTTTGGCAGTTTGTCCAAGCCTTCCGTTCCTGACAGGGTTTCTTAGAGCATACATAATACAGGTTGCCATAAGCAAAGCACACATTGATCAGCTGCTCATCGGAGCTGGTGGTAGCTTATTGTTTCGGGGTTCCTGTGTGAAGGTAAACTCCTTCTGGGAGGATTGTTGTTTAGGTGTCAAAAGGAACTTGCTTTTGGGACGAATGGCATTTTTGATATTTGCAGGCACCTTAGGTTTTGCTTTGTCTGTCCTCTGGGCTGTTCACTTAGGCAATCCCGCAAAATCCTTCCTACTTGGGTTGCAGCCCTGTATGCCGGTGTCCCAAGAAAAAATCGCATGGGCCAACCGTCCATGTTGAGAAGCCCAATTTCTATTCAGTGCTTTCCGGCATTGGAGGTTGTGTTTTAGATGAAGGGAACCACATACGATCAATTGATCCGTGTGGTATTTTGTGTGTGTGGTTGGTTCTGAACATTCCCAACTAAAGATAGTTGCGGATATCCGCTCTTGCAATCCCTCAGGGGTGCTCAGATCCTTAAACAAATGACCGACACAAAGATAGAGACTTGGCTTTGCGCCCTTTTGTTTTGCCTTTTTCCAGCATTGCCCTTTTTAAGATCCCCAGAAAGGGGATTTTCAGGGCAATCCTGTCACATGGTGTTCGATCCCTGTTGTGGACTTGAATCAAATCCTGTCTAGCTGCAAATTCGAGTAGTGTTCCATCTGATTTCGGTGAGGTGTGATCCTTTGCCCTTGTGAAATGACAGGAAGGGTTTCCTGGGCTTTGGGATGGAGGATTTCAGCGACTTGAGGTCCCAAGGAAACTGATCCAAGAAACCTTCCAGGTGTCATGTTAGGAAGGGTGCCCTGTCCTTTTCGAGGCAAGCTGAAGTACAAGCTTGTCGCAGGCAGGGGCCTCAAAGCCGAACTCCTAGCCACCACACCAGGGGCCCGCAGGTTTTGGTTGTTGGTTCGCAAGCCATTTTGGGGTTTCCCCCATTTTTGCCAACAGCCAGTTGGCAAAGGGATGGGCCCCACCCAAAACATGGGCCCCCTTGGCGGCAGGCACATTGACCACAGACTCCGCCAACGGCATCTGCGACGCCTTTTACATCACCCCGGATTTGGAGCTGAAGGGCTCTGCGAAAGCAGAGGACCTCCTGGCAGCCGAGTTCAGGTTGGCGGTCTTCTCCCAATTGCAGAAGAACTGCTCTGCGATGAGCCAGATGTCCACCAAGTTGTTGAGCACCCTTTGCCTCTTTTCGCGTTTCTGCCATTCAAAAACAGATAGCACTGGTTTCGTTTGGTTTCATGTCGTTTACCATTGGGCGACTGGAGGTCCAAGAATTCCATGGCCATTCCCGCTGGCCAGACCGTCATGGAGCACATCAGCAGCAAGGCGAAGCAGCAAGGCACCTTGCAGGATCTGCCGATTCTTGGTTGCTCTTTGCTTTGACCGAATTACCCTCCCACCAGCTAACATGGAAGTGCACAGACCCCTGCAGAAAGACTACTTTCCTCTTGGAAAGGGCCGGTAACCTTTTCACCTTTTGGAAAACGATGGGTTTCTCTCAGCAAAAAGTTGAACCCTGCGCAGCGGGTCAAAGACCAACCCAGGATTGCGCTGCGTGACTTGCAGAGGGACCTGGAATATCAGCTGCGTGGTCCAATGACATCTGGCCTGTTGATCGATGGCTTCTGCAAATACGTTGGCATCGGTTTGGCGCAGAGGAGCCTTCAGGAAATGCTGGGTTTCAAGCGGGAAGAGGGCGCCGCGCCCTCTTTGGTCCTAGAGATCCGCACTTGCTTCGTCTCTGAAAAGGTTGCACAGAGCGCAGGCCAACTCGCGGAGTTCTCGCACCTCTTGCACGATGCCATCGTTGGCACACAGGAGTTTGCAAACTTCGTTTCGTGGCTCGACATCCCGAGCCGCACATGGACCATCGACCGAGTCTATTTGAACGGGGTCCTCCCGGCAGGCAAGCGATATGGCGCTAGAGCCATCGCGGAGCATTTGCTGGAGCCGCCCTTACTCTTCTTTCAGGGTCGTTCAAAGGCGCAGATTGGTAGTTTCTTGGATTCCATGCCGGATCTGGAGAAGTTAGTTGTCAGTGACATCGTGAACTGGAATACCTACTTGCTGATGGCTGTTGTGGGCACTTCGGAGGCAGAGACCAACAAAAAGGTAGGAGACGTCTTGGGCTTTGCTCTTGACACAGAGCTGAATGCTGCTGGTTTAAGCAGGAAGATGCTCTATAACGGCTCAGTCTTGGAAGTATTCCAACAAACGGCCTTAGGAAAGATGGCGTCAGCTGCATTATCGATTTGGAATGAGAAGCTGAACAGAGCCATCAAAATGAAGTCTGCGGAAGTGGTTTACGGGGCTGGCGACGAGGAGATTTTTGGCCAGCGCAGGCCACGAATGTCTGTCATAGTGCAACTTGTGGAGGAGAATGCTGAGCTGAGGGCGAAAGGCAGACTAGGCATTGAAGCTGTGCCCAAGGCAGGGTTCCCGTGTTGCCCCAAGAAGTCTGATGCAGCCATGTGGGGCTTTGATCAAAATTCCTGGCCCCCAAATAATTTGGGGGTAACTTTCTCATTTAGAGGGAAACCTCATCCTTTTTCGTGGTTCCCCCCATTTTTTAATGGCATGTAAGGGACCTTGATGAACCCTTGAGAAGCCAAACTTAGCGCTTCCTCGGTTCCCGGAACGCAGGGCCTTGAGATGGAGGAGACCTCTCTGCTGGAAGGTATGGGAGCCTTCCTGGAGGGCGTCTGGGGCAGGGGCCACTCCAAAGTGCACACCCCTGCTGGCGCCATGGCGCTTCCCAGTCCCAGGATTCCGCTTGACTACTCCAGACTTTAACAACAGCTTAGTCAGATTAAATCCAATTAATATATATGATTCAACCAACAGAATAGCTTAAATGAGTTGAGGGGTGTTCTTCATTCCCCTGAAAAGGAGAACCCCTGGGTTGAGGTCTATCTTAGGGCAGTCAAAAAGCGGAACCCTGCGCAGTCCGGTAGAATCGGGGTACCCTTCATGGCTTTTTTGTGGCAAACCTCTGGGGTAGTGGGTTGGAGGCAGTGAAAACCATCTCTTAGATTGTACCTTTGTGATTCCCTATCCATACCCAACAAGTTTTGACCCTTGAGATTCCGGCATCGAGGTACCAACGCGCCGCACTACTTCGCAGGTTTGTCCAGCGCCATGACCTGCTTGCTGCACGAGCTCCAGGTCGAACGAGGCCTTTCCTGCCGTGCCATGGCGGCGGTTGGCAAAGCCATGACCACCGCCCTGGATCGGCTGAAGAGCCAACGAAGCAGCACTGACACGCGCCAGTGTTGGTGAAGTTTTCGGTTGCTGTCAGTTGCGTTTCAGAGTCCTGCTTTCAGCAGGCAAGGATTGTACGCAGTCTGAGCAAACCAAATGGGTGTCGTTGAATTATTGGTGTCCCTGTCTTGCACACGAGCGCATGAGGTTTTATGTCCACCAGCTATGCAGAATGATTGCTGCGGTGCTCTTGTTTATTTGTGGTTCGTTTAAGGGCCATTGGAGGGTGCTAGATGGCTTGAGGTTTACTAAACCTCAGTTATTCACTGGCCCGCCACCTGTTTCCCATCTTGTTTGGCGGATGTCCCACTGGACATGAGCTCAGCCGGATCCCTGTTTCTGCCAGGTCCAATGGTATACATGAGAACTTGTAGGAAGTTGGGGGGCGTCCTCAATCACCAAAGTGCCGGTGCTTGCAAGTCATCTCTTCGAATTGCGTCAAGTTGTCAGGACAAGGTTTTTGCGCAGCTTTCGGACCTGGTGCGACTGGCTTTGGGCCTCATGGAGAGAGGCGTCATCGAAAATAAGCACAAGGAGCTGGGCAGACGTCTTGGTGCAGGTCTTTGGCGGTCGTGGGCTGCGGTTGAAGAAAAATGGTTTGAATGACCATGTACGGTTGTCCTGTCAACGTCACCTTTTTCAACAGGCTGGGAAATACATCAAATTGCATTTGTGATAGTGTTGGATTGCAAGGCATCTTTAATTGAACCTATCCGGAACAAAAGCGCAACCAGCGACGGAGAATCTGGATGGCTTGCTCATTTTGCCTTGCGCCAAAGACCCCGAGCTCTTGGATGATAAGGATGGTCAGCAACCTCTTCATACCGATGTGCAAAACCTGCACGGGTTAGTAGAGGGGCATCTATCCCGATTCTGTTCATTTACAGGGAAATTTGACAACTTGAAAGAACCGGGCGACAAACCGAACATCGAGTTCTGGGGTGGATGGCTAAATCGGGGACCCCCTCAACATGGGGCCTGGTTTCCTTGTTGGGGGGTTTCTGTTGGTTCCCTTTAGAGAAGAGTACCCTTGAACGTTTCTGTGTTGAGAGGAAAACAATTGTGAGGAAAAGCTTGAAAGTCGGACCAAGTTCAAGTTGTGCCCCCGGACCACATGACCCAACTGAGTGTTTCATGTAGTAGTCGTAGTTTTCCCCCATTCACTTTGGCTGGCCGGTGGCCTGTGAGGACATTTTCTCGTGGCATCAAGAGATCTCCGTGGGCATCGTCTTGCAAAGAGGCTTGGTGAACGACGCCATCAAGCACACGATGCCCACATGGATGGGCCGCTATGCGACTGTTTGCGCTACACCCGACACCGGCTACCACGTACTTATTGACAAGCTTCTGACGAGCATTGTGAAAATCATCGCCTTGGCAGAGGGCCTCAGCTCGGAGAGAAAGGCGGAGCACGGTGAGCGCTGCAGTTTGCTACTGCGCTTCAAGGAGCACATCGGCCGAGAGAGGGGCATGCTGGCAGCCAAGGGAGAATCCAGATGGGCTGAAGACGTTGAGGATGGGGCAAAGAAACTTTTTGGAGAGACAACCGACGGCACCAAGAAGCTGTTGCAGTCGATTTCAGAGGATAAATTGCTGGGGCATGCGTTGGAAAGCAAGGTGCTTGTAGATGCGTTGACAGAGATGCACACTCTCTATGACAAGGAAGTAAAGCAGATTGATTTCACGATCCCCGCAGAAAAGGCGGTCCAATGGTTTGAGATCCTCACGCGATGGATAGATGTTGCATACGAGCACGTCCAGACAGAGATCGAAGCACTCAGTGAAGACCTTCCAGAGGACAACATTGCGCAGCCACGGGTGGACATTGACTTGCGGGTGAGACTAGAGGAGGACCCAGTTCAGAATACTTTAAAATCTCGTTCTTTCATTTGGAAGGTTCCCCCACGAAAATGATGAACCTAAAAAAGAAATCCCTTTTTCCGTGGTTAACTGAAAAACTGGGAGGATGTAGGCGACGAAGACTTACGACTCCTGCTATCTGATCTCAGAATGGGCACGCTGCAAAAAGTCGTTGTCATGGCCGGTGCTGGCATCTCCGTCTCCGCGAATTTGCCCGATTTCCGTTCCAAGGGCGGCCTCTACGACCAGCTGCGGCAGAGCACCAATATCAGCTCGCCGGAGACCATTTTCACCCGGGAATTTCTGCATTCTGACCCTGGGGTCTTCTTTTCCGTGATGCGGCAGCTTCGTGCTGACCATGTGTCTCCAACCTTCACCCACGGTTTCATCAAGCAGCTGCAGGACAAGGGTTTGCTGCAGCGATGCTATACGCAGAACATCGACTGCCTGGAGAGGAAGGTTGGCATTGAAGAGCGGCGCTTGGTAGAATCCTTGCTGGATCTGGCTTTTGCTTGTCCAGGTGGAACCTGTTTCTTCGTTTTCTGGTGGTACCATTTTTTCCAGTGTTTGCTGAAGTCTTTGCCTTCTCTTCTTTTCCATGGCGCATTGTTTGCAGGGAACGAATTCCATGCGGGTGATTCGTGCCACCAGGAATGTCATGGCACCACAGCGAAGGCCAAGTGTGATGGCTGCAGGAAGATTTACAGCAAGGAGCTGGGCAACTCTTGTGGTTTGATTTGGTGGTTCGTTGTGCTCAATCCTGGCTGTTGATGAAGCTACAGGGGGAGGTACTCCCCACTTCCCACCAAACAGCCAAACCACAAATTCAAACCGCCAAGTACTGGGAAGTTGATTTGTGTGGAGTTCCCCACGTTGCTTAAATATGGTGTCCTCCTTGTGTGCTGCCCCTGTTTTGTTTGTGTGCCTTCTTGCCAGGATCCCCCCCCCCCACTTGCATAGACCCTACATGGTGGTGTGCTTTTCTTTTGAGCCAAGCCCAAAAAGAGTATCCTCGCAACAGTCAAAAAATCCCAACAAATCCTGAAAAGAGCTGCCACCCACCAATGCAAAACGCCAATGACCCTCATGTCCCGCCCCAGTTGTTTGGTGGCACCCTGTTTACCCATTTGTTCGGCTTCCGAAAAAGTGATGCGTCTTCCTCTTCCTTCCGGACAGGGTCACAGGTGGAAAAAGAAAAAGCGGAACCGGGCCGGTGCACAAGCGACTCCAGGAGCACTACTTCAACAAGGAGCTCCCTCCGAAGTGCGGTTGCGGGGGCCTCATCCGCCCAGACATCGTGCTCTTCGGGGAGCCTTTGCCGGAGGCTTTTCAGCAGCTCTCCAAGGAGGACTTCCAAACTGCCGCTCGGAGCTGGGTCCTCTTTAGGCATCGGACGACCCCCAAAACGGCGGAGTTTGGTTGACCTTTTGGTTTCCCAACACCAAGCCGAAAAGGCACAGCCTCAACAAGACACGCCCAAATGAAGTCGTGGCTTGGACGGAATGCTGGGTAGCACATTCGACCGTTGGGTGTCCAAGTTGCATTTGTTTCGAGAGAAGTTGCTGACCTCTTGGACGATTTCCCAAGAGCCTTCTCTTGGACTTCCAACCTGCAACTCTTGGCTGAGACGAGAGCACACAAAAATGGCTGGGGGGGGGGTGTTCAAAATCCTGGCTGATACGTTTGGACCTTTTGACCTTCCGGTTTGTTCAACCAGTTGTTGGCTCATATTATTCAAAAGGTGCTGGGTGTGGCTGCCAGCCATTCTAGCGTGTGTCCCATTTTCTCACATTGGTTTGCCAGTCGTGAATCATTCCGTGCAGCGGGGTATATCCAAATGATTGTCTTTTCTTTCTTTCTTTTTGGGGGGTCCTTTTACTTTTTTTCTGTTTTGAAGCTGCCAGACAAGCTGTGAGGGCCTAAGTGGGTGTTGCTCAAAATAGTGCCCTTTCAACACCGACCGAACGAGAGTCCACCGTTTTGGGGCCCTCCGAAAATGGTGTGTTTCTTGAATTTCTGAGGCCCTTTGGAAAGCCCGCTTGATTTTGTTACTCTTGGATGATTCACTCAGTGGGGTATGTCTTTCTGAGAAAAACAAGGCCATTCGCCCTCGGGGCCGTTTCCCTTCGAGACATATTCAAGTGAGGCAGACCTGCTGGTTGTGATGGGCACCTCCTTGAAGGTGCAGCCCTTCGCATCGCTGCCGAAGCTTCTGAAACCCAGCTGCGCGGTGCTGGTGATCAACCGGGAGTTCCCACAGAGCCTTTGCAGCAAAACCCCGCTGCGTGTCTTTTTTTTGGGGTCAGCGTGGTTGCAAATAGCAGCAAAATCCAGACATCACTGGTTGCAAGCAGATGGAAAGGTTTCACTTTAGACTCTCATTTGCAAGGGTAAGGCTTCCAACAACACACACAGTGGCAGGTGGGTTCAACTCGGGGAAAAGGCCCTCCTCGCATTTTCTACATTTTGCCGGTTTTCCTACCCAATTGAAAGGGTCGCCAAGAGCGCACCTCGAGTGACCAGTTCTGCGTGCTTCAGCCTGCAGAACTGCTCGGGGGTTATGATCTTGACTTGGGGTCGAACCACCTACCACTGAGCGGGGCAGCCATATCCAGAAATCATGGCTTCAGCTTCCCGTTCCGGCTTTGACCCAGTGGCCTCATTGCACTCAAGCAAACAATGTGCTATCTGTCTTCTAGACAGCCCCGCGGCCCCGCCCTGCTGCAGAATGAAGCTGATGTGATTTGTTGCCATTTGGGTTTTTAGATTTGCGAGTTGGTTTTGGGTATTGGTGAACGATGGCTTTGCCTGAGCCTGAACCGAGAAGCGGGGCACGCCAGAAGCAGCGAAGTTTGCGGTGACGGAATTGTCGAAGTTTCCGGCAACATGTTTGCTGAAGTTTAGCGCTAAAGTTTGGGTAGTGTCGGTGAAACAGCGTAAGTGTGGAGTTGCCTTCTACAATTGTCCCACACAGATTCACAGCACTCTTCACAAGACCTTTCAGCATGGGTTTTACCTACATTTCAAGGCACGTAAGTTTGCGCTTCGGCGAGAATTTTGTTTTGACCCCAGCTGCCCATCATATCTCGCAATGTCACTGCATGGCCCCAAACGCGTTTCAGGGTGCTAGGCTAGCCCGTTTAGGGCTCCTATTTGTTTTTCAAAGCGGGCAAAGAGAAACAAACCTTTTTGGGGCTTACCCCGTTTTGAGACGACGCCTTTGTTTTCAGTTTATGCGGTGTCTCTTTTTTGGGCTGTTGTCAGTCCGATTCTGAGGAGCCTACAGCTGCATCGCCAAGTGCGCACCTTGCAGTGTCGGCTCAGTGCCACGAAGCTACGAAAGCACGTGTTCCTGGCCGGGGACTGCGACACCAGCGTGCGCTGGCTCATGGAAGCTCGAGCCGCAAGTCCGGAAACGCGAGGTATTGCAAGGAATGGCATGAACGGAACAAAAGGCTAAAACCTGCCTAACCCTAGCTATCTGATCTTGAGCCACAACGAAGGTAACCTACTTGCAAAGCTACTTGCAAAGTACTGGGAACCCCAGATTCATAATATCATCCTTCGTTTTGCGGGGGGTTGTTACCCACAGAAAGTGAAGGATTCCCACCAAAAGGGGAGACCTCTCCCTCACATTATTCAACAAGGGGGTTCTTGATTTGGGGTTAGCATTAGGCTGAACATCCAAGTTGGAAACTGCAAGGGATGCGCTCGGTGCCGCCGTCGCTTTCATTTGGTAGCACTTTCCCAGGTCGGCCTGTATGATTGCCCACGTGTTATAACTGCAAGTGCACGAGGCTTAAGTGCTTCAGAAACAACTGTTTCATGGCGGGGGTGGAGGACGCAATTGTATGTGCCTCTTTAGTTCTTGATCCAGGCATAATATGAAAGTGACCGAACAGCTTGGGCGGTTGTGACACCCGAGCCTTTGTTCCTTTTCGTCCAGGACCAGTCCGGACACACGTGACATATGCCAGTTGCCCACCCGAATTACGCATAAAAGGAAGGTGCCACTCAATTTCCCCATGTCACCTGGGCGTGATTTTTTTGGGGGTGCCCATTCAATTTGATCCTGGCCAGACGTCCGACAAGTCAGATTTCTGTGATTCAAGTGTGACCCGACATTTTGTGAGACTAAGGAAGAGGTCGGATGGATTTTCCAGCGGACGGTCTCCGCCTAGCGGAAGTTTATCGCACGCTGCACAGGAGGGGTACTGCAGGCTGGAGGCCGCAGGCCCTCAACCAAGCCGATAGAAAACGCGCACGCGGAAAACACGCATGTCATGCGAATTGGCATGATGTCCATGTTTGGGATGGCTAAAAGTACGGCGTGTTACCAAAGGGCCTAAATCCAATCATAACAGATGTAGGGCGATTTGCCCGCTCGCGCTCGGTGTTCGTTGCCACATTGGGCATTAAACAAGTAGCGCGGCATTTGTTTGTGAACGGTGAGAGGCGCACGGTAGTAAGTCTTTGGTCGGAGGTGTCATGTCGATGTACCGCTTGTTGATTCGACGCAGTTTGCGAAATCCAAGAGGGCAGTTTGGACAGTTGCTGCCCAACATTTGCTTGGGAGGCCATGTGCAGGGGCTGGTTGTAAGACTGGCATTGGAGAACTAGGCCGGATTGTGCCCCCGCGCTTGGATTTTTGGCCCCAACTCAGGTCAACCGCGCCAAAGGTTGTAAAGGCAGCTCGATTTGAATGGGCGGCCTCTTGGGCTGTTTTGACGAGCCAATCTCTTTGCACCAATGACACCTCAGTGCGAGTTCTGGTGCCTCTGCTCGTGCCACAGGCCAACATCTTCGAAGGGCAAGGCTGGGTCGCAGACGGCATGGTTAGCGCGGTGAAAACTGGTTGGACGTCTGCATTTCATTCAATTCGAAGTCCTTGAGATGAAGAGGCTTCAGACTTGAGGCGACGCTCAGACACACACACACACACCACACAGACAGAGCCGTGACGAATTAATGGTTTGTCCTTTTGGGAGGGGAAAAGGAGAGGTCATTTCATTCCCTAAACTTGCATTGGACTTCCGTTCAGCGCCCATTTTAGGGTGAGTCCATGATTTGTCCACCTCTCTTCCAACCATCATAAAATGTGACAGGAAGGGCTCTAGGTCTGACGAGACTCAACTCCCATATGGGCTTGTCTTTTTTTGGTGTGTTGAGTTGCTTCAAAAGGCAGAAGGTGGGACCTCCCCGAATCATACCCCCGAATCATACCCCCGAATCATACCCCGAATCATACCCCCGAATCATACCCCTTAAAACGTATGCTGCAAGATGCTACTGTTCTTCTACCGTTTTGTGTTGTTCAAATCATACCCCGTACTCAAACCTTCCTGCCCGGCCCCCGTAAAAAGATACAAACCCATATTCTAGGTGTTTCATTCCCTGTACTTGCCGACACACCAAGAAGGTTGAGCTATCTTCTTGTCTTTTTAGGTCGGCGCCGCGGCAGTCGTTCGCGAGTCGCGAGGCGTGAGCTGTTCCAGTCATTGCCTTGCAGCCCGAAGACTTGCGACGGCGGCTTGGGCCAACTGCCGGGTCAGAAAGATAGCATTCTAAAGTATAAACTGCTTTTGTTCGGCTAAGATGGTGTTTTATGATTTGCTTGTAAATGTTAAAGAAATCTAGCACCACTTGGAAATGTGATGACATGTGATGACATCTTTTGCAGAAAACTGATATTTGTTGAAAGCGATCTGGGAAATCAACGAAGATGTCAAACGCGCAACCCAGTGCTGGGTGTGCGGGTTGTTCCGTGAGCTAACCCTCTCTTCAGCGGTTTTGAAAGAAACAAGTAAGAGGAGACCAAGTTTGCTTATTGTCTTGCATCTTCATCTTGATCCCCATCTTCCTGTTTTTTTACGCTCATGGCTCCTGCTTTGCACGCCAGATTCCATTTCCGTTATGCCCCGAACAGCCAGGAATGCTGCTGGGTCAACGAGTGGTTCCATTCTCAAGTTCGGTTTGACTGAAAGAGCAGAGCATGGCACCTTTGGCCACCTGTACCCTTATCGTTCTTGACGCGAGCCCAAACTCAGGCCACCCGCCTGTGAACCTCGCGTTGGATCTTCACATTGGCCGAGAGTTCAATCTTTAGGCCGCCGCCCCAAGCCCTCCCATTGCATTCAAAAGTTTGGCACAAGTGTTCGACAAAAACACAGCATTGGCTTTTTGTAGCCCATCCTGCACCGAGTGACCAACATGTTTTGCAAAGAATTGGTATGTGATTTGACTTTGTTGCATTGGTCATGCGATTGATTTTTCTGCCGATAGGGGGTAACCCACCCCGAAGATGGCTTTAGTCCACCTGCCCTTGCCTTTTTCCCCGTGGTGCTTCTGTCCGCAGCTCGTTTTAAGGCTGTGTTTCAATCTGTTTGAAATTTATAGAGGTGCCGATGGGCTGCGGGCACTCCAATTCTGTGCCGCAAAGTTTTTCAAGCTGGAGGGCCTGAAGGGCTTGCACCTCCGCATCGTGGGCCTGGATTTGGCGGATGAGCTGCCTTTGCTGGAGGCCGCGGTGGCCAGAAGAGAGATGCTGATCAAGAAAGCCACGCTGCTGAAGATCGGGTGTCACGTGGATCAGAGTTTCGAGCTGACGAACCTGGCCAACCGAAGCCCCAAGCAGCAAGCGACGAAGCAGGACGTCGAGGTGAGTTCTGCATCCGCTGCCGAGGTCCTAAAAGCTGTGCCGCAGGCAGAGGCAGCCTTGTCTACCAAGCTGGGGCAGGTTCTGAAGCTCTTTGTGGATTGTCCTGCAAGGGGCGGGGAGCGTGGTGCAGTCATGAGCATGATGCGCAAATTGAGGTACAAGCTTATCTCAGGCATTTGGACCTCCGACATTACCCACCGCATCTCCGATGTACTTTACATGACACCTGACGTGGAGCTGGGCGGCTATCCGAAAGCAGAGGACCTTTTGGCAGCTGAGTTCAGGTTTGCTCTGTTTTCTCAGTTGCAGAAAAACTTCTCAACAACAAGCGGAGTCTCCAAAAGTTCCACGGTCATACCAGCTGGTCAGAGTCCCATTGAGCACATCAGCAGCAAAGCAAAGCAGCAAGGTGGCCTGCAACAATTGCCGATTGTGCTGCGTGACTTGCAGAGGGACTTGGAATATCAGCTTCATGGTCCAATGACGTCTGGCATGTTGATCGATGGCTTCTGCAAATACGTCGGCATCGGTTTGGCGCAGAGGAGCCTTCAGGAAATGCTGGGTTTCAAGCGGGAAGAGGGCGCTGCGCCCTCTTTGGTCCTAGAGATCCGCACTTGCTTCGTCTCTGAAAAGGTTGCACAGAGCGCAGGCCAACTCGCGGAGTTCTCGCACCTCTTGCACGATGCCATCGTTGGCACACAGGAGTTTGCAAACTTCGTTTCGTGGCTCGACATCCCGAGCCGCACATGGACCATCGACCGAGTCTATTTGAACGGGGTCCTCCCGGCAGGCAAGCGATACGGCGCTAGAGCCATCGCGGAGCATTTGCTGGAGCCGCCCTTACTCTTCTTTCAGGGTCGTTCAAAGGCGCAGATTGGTAGTTTCTTGGATTCCATGCCGGATCTGGAGAAGTTAGTTGTCAGTGACATCGTGAACTGGAATACCTACTTGCTGATAACAAACGGCCTTACGAAAGATGTCTTCAGAAGCATTGGCGATATGGAATGAGAAGCTGAACAGAGCCATCAAAATGAAGTCTGCGGAAGTGGTTTACGGTGCCGGCGATGAGGAAATCTTCGGTCAGCGCAGGCCACGCATGGCAGTGATAGTGCAGCTAATGGAAGAGCATGCCGAAACACGGGCAAAAGCCAGACTGGGCATTGACACAGCTGCGGTGCCAAATGACGGCTTTGAAGGTATGGGTGCCTTTCTGGAAGGAGTTTGCACGAGCCATTCCAAAGCTCATGCTCCAGCCGTTCCTAATGGCCCACACTACTTTGCAGGATTAGCAAGTGCGATGACCCGCTTGCTACATGAGCTACAGGTTGAGCGAGGCGTCTCCTGCCGTGCCACAGCTGCGCATGGCAAGGCTGTGACAAGTGCCCTGGATCGGTTGAAGAGCCAACGAAGCAGCACCGACACTTGGCCACGTAGAAGTTTGATCTTTTCGCCTTTGAATTGCTGTTCACCTCAGCACAAAGGCAAAAGAGTCTGAATTGCGCCAACTGGGTGGGAGGTTTCTTTTTTTTAACGGTGGACATCATTCGCACGAGTGATTTTATTCAGTCGCCGTCTTTTTCCCAGGGCTGCGAAAAGGGTAATCCAATTTTCTTCCGTCCGGGTCGCTGGGGACGGGGTTCGGCCCGACTAAGGACTGGTCCTTGCGCAGCTTTTGGACCTCATGCGATTGGCTCTGGACCTGACAGAGAGAGAGGCGCGTTATCGAGAGGAAGCACAAGGACTGCGATGTGTTGATGCCCGTATGTTAATTGGTTGACATTCTGTGCAAGCACTGTTCTTCTCAAAAACCAGCCACTGGTCCAGGTTGGTAGTTTTCTGAAAGTGCCCCCAGAATACGACTTGCGGCGCAAATGGACAACCTGCCAATTGTCCCTTGGTTCCCGCCAGAAAATGGCACACCCGTCTTGTGAGCTGAAGTAAAACAGGGAAATTACTGATTTCGTTTCTGGGGGTCTCCGGACAGTCAGGAGATTCTTGGAGTCAAAGTATTGCCCTCAGTCTCCAAAGTGTAGCGTCGTTTTGGGCACCAAGACAGCTCGAGCGCCCGCGCACATCTTTTGCACATCAGCCTTAGCTTTCGCGTGGATCTGGATTCGCACCTTGGCCTCGCGGGCGCCTTCCGCATGAGTGCGTTCTGGAACAAACTGGATCAGCGTGGGAGTGTCACTATGGAGTGCGCCAAATCCACCTGATTGGAATCCAACCAACTGAGGCATTTCCATTCCTAGTCCAAGAGCTTCACGGATGCTTGAGGCACTCCTGTGTCGTCTTTTGGCGCCTGACTTTGAATGCTCTTTCATGTTTTGCTCCAAACGACAGGACGATGTTGGCGGCGAAGGCTAGTCCAATTACAAGGCGTCCGACCAGGCTGCAACCTACAAACTCAATGTAACAATCGCGTTTGCTACAATAGCCTTAAAATCTCCTCAGTCAGAACTACAAGCGTATTTTCGAAGCACGACGTGTCAGACCCTTAAGCGGCAAACGCAATCTACACGCACGTACCCCCTGCACGGCAGGCAAAGACAGGCATGGCTAGGCAACAAGTCACCACCAAAAGAGCAAAGCACATCAACCTAAAGTTCCTCCACAAACATGACCTCATCAATAAAAACATCAACTACGGAAAGGGCGTGAGGGAGGGAGGGAGGGAGGGAGGGAGGGAGGGAGGGAGGGAGAGAGGGAGAGAGGGAGAGAGGGAGAGAGGGAGAGAGGGAGGGAGGGGGAGAGGAGAGAGAGAGAGAGAGAGAGAGAGACAGACATGTCAAACTACATGCTTCACCGCTTGCATTTGTGTTGCATGTATGTATACTACCGAAGGCCTTGAGGCTCAGCCCAACTACATATGTCAGGAAAGACAAAAGGCTGCAGCAGACTACATTTGTTTATGTTAACAACAACAGCATTGCACTTGCACTTGTAGTAATTGCTACTCCGATTTTAACTTGGTAGCGGAGCTGAGATCCTAAACATAGGGGAGCTCCAGTATTCAGCAGTAAGTACTGCAACAACTGCAATAGCAATCACATGCCAAACTACTACGACATGTCAGGAGAAGCAGCATCAGCTTCAGCACAACAAACTACAGGAGCAGAGAACGGGCCAACAGCAGAAACAGTAAGCAGGAACAGAACAAGCCAATGAAGAATGGCTGTTCAAGCCACAAGCCGACCTCGGACTCGTAGACCGAGACTTCGACCTGGTGCTACAACTGGTACAAGTAGCTACACGACAGATTGAGGATACAGCTACAGTAGTAAGGCAAAACCGCTACAACGCAAATGGATCTGAAACACTACGACTCTTGCACAACAGGTTCAGCCAACCAGTAGGAACACGAAGCGTTGGCTACCTTACCAAGCTACTGGAACCTACATTCAACGAAGCACAGTTTGAAGAGCAATTCCTACACTGGGAATACGACATCAATCGCTACGAGAAAGACAACGGCACAGCACCAATAAAGATCGCAATGCTACTCAACAAGACCAAAGGAGCACTGCAACAACATTTCCAACTGCGAGCTGGACAGATCACGAACTACATCGAGATCAGAGCAGTCGTTCTGGACTACTAGACGATTTCAGCTTTCTCAAGATCGACTTCAGCAGGTGGCACAAACTACAATGGAGGATCTGCACCAATGGACGTTGACAACATTTGGAGGAAAGGAAGAAACTACAAAGGCAAAGGAAAAGGCAAAGGCCAAGTACCGGAGCAAAGGACACTACAAGTGATTTGACAAAGGCAACAAAGGAAGCCACAACAAAGGAGGATACAACAAGAGCAAAGGAAAAGGCTACTCAGGATCCAAAGGCTATGGATCAAGCAAAGGCTACCAAGGCCAGGAAAACTACAGCAAGTCAAAAGGAAAAGGAATCAACAACTACATGACATGCCACCGATGTGGCAAGCCTGGCCATTGGGCCCAGGACTGCAAAGTGCCTGTATGGCACATAGGAGAAGGAGAAGAACTACATCCACCAGACCAAGAACAAGCAGATCAGGACAACAATGAAGAACTACTTCAGGATGTGAACGACACTTGGGACTGGCAGGATACTTCGCATCACAAACGTAGTAGGGTATCATGATCCTGAAGTTGTCCTGCTTGTAGGGAACATACTTGATGCCGTAGAAAGGAATCTTCTTGTTGGTAACCGTGTAGAGTTGTGGAACTAACTGATCCTCCACAAGGTCGTAGTGGTAGGTCTGGTGCGTAGTCCTTCGGGCAGACATGTGTAGACGCTCCTGAGTCGATCAGCAGGTGATGGTATGACTTGAAGTTGGAGTACATGATGTAGTGTGTGATGGTGTCCTCAATCTTCCTGTTTCTTTGCTGTTGTGTTGCTGCTGCTATGTCGAAGTGCAGTTGTGTTGTGTCCTCTTGGAGGTATTGTTCAAAGCTCTTGCTGTGGTCGTTCCATGATGTTGTGTGTGCTATTTTCTTTCCAAGTAGTGATTCGAGTTTGTGCTTGTGTAGTAGTGACTTTGCTTGTCTGATGTGTCCAATGGTAAGGTGTGACTCGTTGATGCCTCCAATGTAGTTTGCTGTGTCTTCGTAGGTGTTGTCATTCCAATCGCAGCTGTTGTCATAGTCGTAGTCGTTCCAATTCTCCTCCATGTAGTTTACCTCGTGTTGTCCTTCTTCTCCCTATCCTCAGTGCGTGAAGACTACTTGATAGAGGATATGGACTCGACTTCAATCCACGACACTGCACCCTCACACGGACAACCCCTCATCACACACCCAGGACTTTTCTACCTACGAGCAGAAAAGATCTACATTCCTACAGGATTTGGCATCTACCCAATGAGTACAGACAATGGAAAAATCCATTGCTGTGATTCAACCTACAGAGAAAGCAAAACAACAACAAGGACAAATTGCACCACTCACACACACAGAGCAAGGACTGCGACAGATCCTTGGTGGAAACACTGACTACTGGAAACTTGATGGTGACTACGCCATCAGGGTTCACAAACGACCACGCAAAGCACTTTTCACACCACACAACAGCGGCTGCCCGATACCAGAAGGAGAACTAGATGATTGGCGACTAACCATCATCAACAGACAAGGGCAAGAGCAAGAACAACTACAAGAGAACCCAAAACAACTTTCCAAGCAAGAACTACAACGAAGACTAGAAGGTGACAACTGGACTGGAGAAACCAGATTCAGAAGAAAGATAACACCTACACGCAGAGCAACATCAAAGACCACACCAACAAGGCAGACAACAGCTAATGGATACACCACCAACAAGATCAAAGATCCAACTACGAAATCCACAAAAGATATGGAGACCTAAAGCAGCACCTTCTACAGTCCTTGACACCACACAACCAAAGCAAACAACACACAGACCACTCACTGCACAGGAAGACAACCAAGACTACTGGGAAAGACAAGGTGAACACTGGAAAAGGCACCAAGACACTTTTTACTCCAACAGATGGACCAGGACACCCACCAATTAGCACACTTGAGCCTCACAGAACTACAATCACTCACAACAACTTTGGAGAAGTGTCACAACGCGAAGACGACTGGACAGTCATGGGCAACGCAGCACTACCATTTCAATGCAAAGCAACAGCAAGGTTCACCATGAAGAAAGACTACGAGTACACCCAGGAGAACCACGATGAGGAACAACAACACGAGCATCACGAAGCACACAGAGCGAGAGGACTACGACAACCACAGCAACCAACTCCACAACAAATAGCAGAACACAACTTGACACACCTACCATACAGAAATTGGTGTCCAATTTGCGTGCAAGGCAAGGGACGCCAAGACAACTACAAGAAACAACAATCACGACAACCCGTCATTCAAGTAGACTTTGCCTACATCAAATCACAACAAAACCCAAAGACCATACCAGGCTTAGTAGCAGTTGATGTTGCTACACAACTGTGTATGGCGGTACTGGTTCCGGACAAACCATCAATGATGGACTACATGGTCAACAACCTACAAGCGTTCATCTTTGAGCGCGGAAGAACACAAGGCATACTACAAAGTGACAACGAGGACACACTCAACGCACTTCTAAAAGCTACAGCAGCCAAAGTTGGCTCAATGACTGTTCGACATGCACCCTCCTACAGCAGCAACAGTCAAGGAAGCGTTGTGCGACTACATAGCAAGCTCCTTGGACAGGTACGCGTTGTCAAAGCACAAGTTGAAAGCAACTACAGCATAACAATGGCCACGAAGCACTATCTACAACCTTGGATAGTACGACATGCAGCATGGGCGGTAAATCGCTACGTCATCCACCCAGACGGCTACACAAGCTTCGAACGCCGCTGGGGAAGAAACTACGAGCGAGCGATTTGCGAATTTGGCGAACACTACTTTACCTTCCACAACAACACAAGAACTTCCAAAAGCAGACCTACGGATGCAGAAATGCATCTGGCTCGGAAAAGTTTCCGAAACCGAAGAAAACTACGTCGCAACGGAAACAGGTGTACAAAAGGTACGAACAGTACGGAGGCTACAACCAGACTTCAAATACGACCTCGTACTACTAAACAAAGTCTCCGGCACACCTTGGGCGCCACGACGGAACACTTACAACCAAAAATTTGCAACACTGTCGGACACGCAACTACAATCGTCAGAGAAAGACTTCGGAGAACAGACGAACGGACGGACGACATCGTCGTGGAACCTGCAACAAAACAACAACGTACTACGTCACCTCCACGACTTCCGTCGACATCGACGTCAAGTTCACGACCACTACCGGATAGCCCTATGGCTACTTCACCAACCGGACGGCAACATCCGCCACTACCAGCACCACCTCGACAAACACGAAGATGCTTGACTCCGGAAGAAGTACTGCAACCAACCAAAGCACAGAAGACCACTACAATCAGATCAACGGAACAAGCAACCAAAGAACCACAACCACTACGACAGAAAATTAGCGCAGTGACACTTCCCAACGGAACATTCATCACTCCCTACACAAACGACGACACCTCCGAAGACCACCCTACAATCTTCGACAACGAAAGTTACGACGAAACACAACTACTGGAAGGAATGAAACACGAGTCAAACCAAATGAAACTACATGACGTCAACGACGAAGTAGATGCGTCTACAGTCGACGACGCCACCAAAGAAGCAATCCCTACAAGATGGGTCCACAGAAACAAAGGACCAGGAGTGCAAAGCAGAATCGTCGCAAAAGGCTACACTGAGAACATCGAGGACGAAGACTCCGTCTACGCCTCTACACCAATGTTCACGACGCTACGGACAATTCTCGCACAACAAATGTCACGACCAAACTGGATCGCGCGACTAGGCGACGTCTCTACGGCATTTCTACACGCACCCATCGCAAAGGACCACGACGGCAAACAACGCTACGTCTACCTTTGGCCACCTAAAGAATTTTGCCCACTACAGAAAAAAACTATGGCGGCTACAGAAAGCCATGTATGGGCTACGCAGCTCACCTAAAGCATGGCAGGATTACCTGGCTGAAGTGCTACAAAGACTCAGCTTTGTAAGGCTAAAGTCAGAACCTAACGTTTACACCAATACGACTCGCGACTGCTACATCATGGTCTACGTGGACGACCTATTGGTACTTGGAAACAAGACTACTGTCGACTCCATCTTCGAGGCCATCCAGAAGCAGGTTCTACGCTACCTCGAGCCTGGTAAACTACAACAATTCCTGAGAAGAAACATCGACCACTTCGACAACTACTGCACCTACATCGACAACATGATCGAGGAGACTGAAATGACCAACTGCAACACGGTGACCACTCACCAACAACATCCTGGATCTCGACGTTCATGTCGATGCCGACTGGGCAGGATGCCCTACTACCAGGAAACCAACTTCAGGTTTCAACATCATCTTTCTTGGAACAACAGTTGCATTTGGCAGCAGAATACAAGCTACAATAGCACTCAGCTCAGCAGAGTCTGAACTCTACGCCATTTGCACAGGACCTACGCATTCACACAGACTCCACAGCAGGCAAGAGCATTGCTGCACGACAAGGTACAAGCAAACGAGCAAAGCAATTGACCTCAAATTTCTCTACACACAAGACCTCATCAAACACGACATCATCAGAATCCTTAAAATCAACAAACTTCACAACAGCGCAGATTTGTTTACCAAATACATCAGCAAGGAAACGCTACACAGGCTCATTCAGAGCATTGGGGTACGCATTTAGCACTACGAACGGCCAGCGCAACTGTTTCACCACAACAACAACGACGACAACGACAACAACAACAACAACAACAACAACAACAACAACAACAGCAGCAGCAGCAGCAGCAGCAGCAACAACAACAACAACGACTTCAAACATTTTTGTATGTAGCAGCTACATGCAACATGACACTTTTGGTATGGAAGTAACAGTAACTACATGCAATGTCACTTGCACTCTTGGCGGCATGATTGGCGGCTTGAGTCAACACCACAGTTGTTTGTTTTACTACATGTCTGCATGCGCCGCTTGCCTCCTCAGGCTCATCTTTTTGCCCCGTTTCACTACCTTTTTGTGCCCACTACAGCCATGGCCACTGGACCTTCGAGTGTCGGTGCGACTCCACGTGCAGTGGAGACTACAGACTCGTACCAGCACCCAGCTACAACGAGAACAACTACCACTTCAACCACACTACACCCAACACCACGCCTTACTACCACCCATCGGCCATCATGGAACAACTACACATCACTGAGTACCAGACAACTCAGACACCACTTCTCCACAACAACACGCACTATGTTCAACTCTTCACTGCATTCACGCTTGAAAGTACCGACTACTTTCACTTCAACAATCGACGCCGCTTGGACATCTTGACTTCACACGACCACTACTGTGCATCCGAGGTGATTTGAGGATGCCCCACTACAACTCTGCACTACTCAGCATCGCACTTGCAGAGGCATGCAGCGTGCACTACTACCACACGACATCACTGCACACCACAACAAGCCGTAACGACAGCTACATTGTGGTCAGAGTACATGTTGAGCAGGAACTACTTTTGAGGTACCTTACCTCATGACAATTCGATCGCTTCACTCGCGACTACATCTCCTACATGCTCTCCATCCAAATAACGCACTACCTTCCAATCTCACAACATTCGCAACTCATCTACAAGGTGGACTATGACATGGGCAGGTTCTACATCTGGAACTACCACATGCCCTTGTTCCTACCTGACCTACTTCACTACCTCAACAACCACGAACAACTACATGCCTTTCAACACAAAGCAATCACTACAATCCTTTGACAAAGCATCCACTACTACGGATTCACACTACTCACAATGACAGACCTGACTGCGCAACAGAGACTGCAACTTCACAACTACCTCCGCAACCACCAACACCAGGTAGCACCACCAGAGGTCGACGACAATCGACTACGTGGTGCGCCGGACTTCACCGACAACTTTGTGATCAACTACTTCGCCTCTTTGAACCACCGACTGGAGCAGGTGCGCAACTACCGGCTTCAACATTGGGGACTACATGCCTGAGCTACGGGCTTGGCTACAACTACAGGTGCTTCTTCACCAACTCCGTTCAGTCCGACTACATTCCGGGCTGAAACCTGAACAGCGTGAGCTACAGAGGACTACCCTCTTTTCTCTTCACTACAGTAGCATGGATGAACAACAATAGCTTTCATCACTACTGGCAATCCTTTGTTTTTCCACTCCAGTTGAAAGATACTTCAGAAAGATCTTTTAACTGAGGGGCCGTGTCAAACTACGTGCTTCACCACTTGCATTTGTGTTGCGTGTATTTTTTTCTACCGAAGGCCTTGAGCCTCAGCCCGGCTACATCTGTCAGGAAAGGCAAAAGGCTGCAGCAGACTACATTTGTTTGTGCTAACAACAACAGCATTGCACTTGCACTTGTAGTAATTGTTACTCCGTTTTTTATCGAGACAGAGAGAGAGAGAGAGAGAAAAAAAAAGAGAACAGAGAGAGAGAAAGAGAGAGAGAGAGAAAGAGAGAGAGAGAGAAAGAGAGAGAGAGAGCGAGAGAGCGAGAGAGCAAGAGCAAGAGCGAGCCACGCGTGCACGTGCGCCGTCAGGATGTTTTCGCATGGCATCAAGAGATCTCGGCGGGGATTGCGTTGCAGAGAGGCTTGGTCAACGACGCTGTCCAGCACAACATCCCCACATGGATGGGCCGCTATGAGACGGTTTGCGCCACACCTGATACCGGCTATCACGTACTTATGGACAAACTTCTAAATAGCATTGTGCAGGTGATAGGCTTGGCTTCGGAGGGGCTGGACCTGTCACCTGAGCCTGACCCGTTTGGAAAGGTGGAACGCCTCGAGCGCTGTAGCTTGCTATTGTGGTTCAAAGAGCACATCGGGCGGGAGAGGGGCCTGCTGGCAGCCAAAGGAGAATCCAGATGGACCGAGGAGGTCGAGGATCGGGCATAGCGCCAAAGCGCCTCTTCGCGGAGACGACTGACGGCACTGACGAGTTGTTGCAGTCGATTTTGGACGACAAGCTGCTAGGCCATGCAACCGAGAGCAAGGCTCTTGTAGATGCTTTGACAGAGATGCGCGGGCTTTACGAGAAGGAGGTGAAGCAGAGCGATTTCACGATCCCAGCAGAGAAAGCTGTGCACTTGTTCGAGATCCTCACGCGATGGATTGATTTTGCATATGCGCACATTCAGACTGAGATCACAGCCCTCAGTGAAGATCTGCCAGAAGACAACGTTGCTCATCCGAGGGTTGACATTGAATTGCAAGTGAGACTGCAGGATGATGTAGGCGATGAGGATTTACGCCTCTTGCTTTCTGATCTCAGAGCAGGCATTTGTTGTGATGGCTGGCGCTGGCATCTCTGTGTCCGCGAATTTGCCTGACTTCCGGTCGAAGGGCGGCCTCTACGACCAGTTGCGGCAGAGCACCAATATCAGCTCGCCAGAGAGCATCTTTACGCAGGATGTCCTGCATTCTGACCCTCAGGTCTTCTTCGAAGTGATGCAGAAGCTTCGTGCCGACCATGTGTCTCCAACGTTCACGCATCGCTTTATCAAGCAACTGCAGGAAAATAATCAGTTGCAGAGATGCTATACGCAGAACATCGACTGCCTGGAACGCAAGGTTGGCATTGAAGAGCATCTCTTGGTGGAATGCCATGGCAGCAACTTGGTTACTATTTTCGTTTGAGCTTCAACCTCTCAACCTTTTGGTCAATGATGTTGTTTCCCTACAACCAACCAAGGTGAAATGTGACAAATGCTTGAGGGCTTTCAGCCAAGAGCGCTTCTTCAAAAGTGCCACACCGCCAAGATGCGGCTGCGGAGGACTCATTCGCCCAGACATCGTCCTCTTCGGCGAGACGTTGCCGGAGGGCTTTCAGAAGCTCTCGAAGGAGGACTTCCAAACTGCAACTGCGCGTGGAAACCTAACCTTTTGTCTCCAGTCCACACCCCAAATTTCGTTCAAAGGCACGCATTGCATGGGTGTGGGCTGTGATTCATTTTGTTGTAAGCATCCCACAAGGTCAAGCCACATGAGCCCAGTGTCGTCAGGCGCGTGGAAACCTAACCTTTTGTCTCCAGTCCACACCCCAAATTTCGTTCAAAGGCACGCATTGCATGGGTGTGGGCTGTGATTCATTTTGTTGTAAGCATCCCACAAGGTCAAGCCACATGAGCCCAGTGTCGTCAGGCCTTCCCTCACATTCCCAAGCGCTTTTTTTTGCCCTTGGCAGACACTTGTGTGAAATACTGGTTTAGCCTGGCTTTTCTGTGACACTATCAATGCTGTAAGGCAGATCTGGTGATCATCATGGGCACCTCCCTGAAAGTGCAGCCCTTCGCGTTGCTTCCAAAGCGCTTCAAACCCGGCTGCGCGCTGCTGGTGATCGACCGGGAGTTCCCACAGAGCCTACAGCTCCACCGCCAGGTGCGCGGTGCAAAATGGCTCAGGGCCTCGGTTCCTTGTCTTGCCAAGTATGTCAACAGAATGCGGTGTTGTTCCGTCTTTGATCAATGTGAGCAGAGCAACGGACAAGATGACCAGAGTATCGGTTTGGGATGGTGCCCATGTTTCTTTGGGCACCCAAAGGACACCAGCATTAAAGAGATAGCTGAACCGCCATGAACCTTTTGTTTGGACGACTGATTCCCTTGAAGGCACGTCATTTTGGCTGTTTGCTGAAGTCAGGTGCGCGCCCTGCGCACAAAGTTCAGCGGCACGAAGCTCCGGAGGCATGTCTTCCTGGCCGGGGACTGCGACACCAGTGTCCGATGGCTCATGGAGGAGGTTGGATGGTTTCATGGAACAACATCGCTCTAGTCGGAGCGCTGAGAGCGGATTGCTCAGTAATTTGTCAAGCATGGGCACGCACAAATTGCGGCCCATTCACAGTGCGAAACCGGCAAACACACCAAAATGGGAGGCTTGCACTATGGGAAGTGGGTTATGACTGTGGTGACTAGCCACAAACCCTCCCGAACCTGACATTCCCACCCAATCGCCCCTTCAAGTAGTAATGATATCTTTTGCCTGACATGAGCCCTGATTGATCATGCAGTGGTGGCCTTTTGTGCTTTTGTTGAGGGCTGTTTTCTTAAACTCCCAAACCCGAAAAGTTGGGTGTGTTCTTCCCTAGTCCCCAGGTCGCCATTGAGGGGCTCGGTAGGCATGTGCTACATCGTCAGGAAGTGTATGGTCTCAACACGGGCGCACCCTGGTCATGCTTGTTTGCCGGGTTGTCTTTCCGATCTCTTTCGACATGGGTTTGCACTGGGAAATGATTTCTTGTCCCCAGGAGGAAATCGATCAAAAGAGCTTTCTTGCTGAAGGGTGTCTATTGAAGAGCTGAGATGAAAAGGTTGCGGGAAGCATTTGTGGAAATTTAAAAGAAAACCACTACTGTTTGTCTCATGAACAGGTTCAATTATATAAATTCATCCGTCGACATCCGAGGACAGGGCTCTTCGCTTCTTGGCCGAGCTCAAAGCTCTGATTCGGGACCCGGCCTAAGCAAACTGCAGCGGGTCGACAGCCTCGCGTTTCCTTTTATGTGCTGGTTGTTTCCGTTTCTAGGCGCAAGACCTGCGAGGAGGATCCTTTGCTTTGGGATATGTGTGCTACATCAATTGACCTTCCAAGCATTTTTTGTGAGGGTAGTTGTTGCCGCAGGTGTGTTGGTTCTGATTTTGTTTACTGGGCCCAAAGAAAAGCACCTATGCCGCGGAGGGGGCAGGCAAGTTGCCAGAAGCATTGGGCGCGGACCCAGACGCGCAAAGAGACGGGTGGTTTCTGAGCAACTGAGGAAACCGTTGGGACTGGAGAGGTGCATGCCAAACGATCGTTGGAGCAAAAAGCAAACAAACTCGGCTAGAGACATCGGCTTTCTGACAATCCCACCTTCACGACTCTTTGCGAGCGATGTTTATGTGTTTCGTGTTTGTGTTTGGTTCTTCTTGCCCCGAGCCAGTTTGGGGAAGCAAAATGGCATGTGTTGCCAACCTGCGGGCGGGGAAGCCGCCTTTTCGTCAGTCACCTGCAGCTCTTTGGCTGAAGGCAGCCGACCGCCCTCAATGGGCTGCGGCCAGTCGAGCTTCGTTCCGCCGGTCGCCTCAAGGGCGGCATGGCAAAGCTTTTTTCGGCTCGACGGGTTGCCGCTCAGTTTGACCGTTGAGCCACTCACGAATCAGAAGGCCGAGTGGTGGCAAAATGGTTTGGGCACCAACCCAGACCGCCCAAGAAAAGGAGAGGAAATGAGGATTAAACTAGCGTGGTGCGACGTGTTTTTTTTCAGTGGTTAGCCCAACCTTGCCGGAAGGGCTTGCACCTGCGGATTGTGGGCCTCGACTGTGCCGAAGAGTTGCCTTTGTTGGAAGCCGCATTGGCCAGGCGTGAGTTGTGGATCAAATCTGCCACCTTGGTGAAGATCGGGTGCCATGTGGACCAGAGCTTTGAACTGATGCCAGCGAGCAAAAGCCCAAAGCAAACTCTGAATCAGGATATCGAGGTGACTTCTGCATCTGTTGCTGAGGTCCTTGAGGCTGTGCCACATGCAGCTGCCGCTTTGCCTGCTAATATGGAGCAGGTTATGAAGCTCTCAGTGGATTGTCCGGCAAGGGGAGGAGAGCGAGCTGCGGTTATGAGAATGATGAACAAGTTGAGGTACAGACTCATCACGGGGATATTGAAGACCGACTTGGCCAACGGCATCTCCGACATCTTTTTTATCACGCCTGATTTGGAGCTGAGTGGTTCTGCCAAAACGGAGGACCTTCTTGCAGCTGAGTTCAGGTTGGCAGTGTTTTCGCAATTGCAGAAAGTCATCTCGACAGTCACAATGAAATCCCAAAATTCCATGTCCGTCCCGCCTGGTCAGAGTGTGATTGAGCACATCAGCAGCAAAGCAAAGCAGCAAGGAGCCTTGCCGCAACTGCCAATTGTGCTACGGGATTTGCAACGGAAGTTGGAGTACCAGCTGCATGGTCCTGCATCCTCTGGCCTGTTGATTGATGGCTTCTGCAAATACGTCGGCATCGGTTTGGCGCAGAGGAGCCTTCAGGAAATGCTGGGTTTCAAGCTGGAAGAGGGTGCCACACCCTCTTTGGTCCTAGAGATCCGCACATGCTTTGTCTCTGAAAAGGTTGCACAGAGCGCAGGCCAACTCGCGGAGTTCTCGCACCTCTTGCACGATGCCATCGTTGGCACACAGGAGTTTGCAAACTTTGTTTCGTGGCTCGACATCCCGAGCCGCACATGGACCATCGACCGGGTCTATTTGAATGGGGTCCTCCCGGCAGGCAAGCGATACGGCGCTAGAGCCATCGCGGAGCATTTGCTGGAGCCGCCCTTACTCTTCTTTCAGAGTCGTTCAAAGGCGCAGATCGGCAGCTTCTTGGATTCCATGCCGGATCTGGAGAAGTTAGTTGTCAGTGACATCGTGAACTGGAATACCTACTTGCTGATGGCTGTTGTGGGCACTTCAGAAGCAGACACCAACAAAAAGGTGGGAGACGTCTTGGGCTTTGCTCTTGACACAGAGTTAAATGCTGCTGGCCTAAGCAAGAAGATGCTCTACAACGGCTCAGTCTTGGAGGTGTTCCAACAAACGGCCTTAGGAAAGATGTCTTCAGAAGCATTGGCGATATGGAATGAGAAGCTGAACAGAGCCATCAAAATGAAGTCTGCGGAAGTGGTTTACGGTGCCGGTGATGAGGAAATCTTCGGCCAGCGCAGGCCACGCATGGCGGTGATAGTGCAGCTGATGGAAGAGCATGCCGAAACACGGGCAAAAGGCAGACTGGGCATTGACACAGCGATGCCAAATGACGGCTTTCAGGTGGAGAGCCAGAGCCAGACCCAGTTAGAAGGCATGGGCGCCTTTCTGGAAGGAGTTTGGGGCAAGAGCCATTCCAAAGTTCATGTTCCAGCCGGCGCCAACGCTTCGCTTACCTTACCGTTTTGACATGTTTTGACTTTGTGCGGTTGCAGATTCCCTTCTGCTCTTCCCTTGAACCGAGTGTGGCCAAGGTACGAATGGGCCACAATACTTTGCAGGTTTGTCGAGCGCCATGACCTGCTTGCTGCATGAACTTCAAGTGGAACGAGGCCTCTCCTGCCGTGCCACGGCTGCTGTTGGCAAGGCCATGGCAACAGCATTGGATACTTGGCTCGCACAATTCGCCCCTGCTGAACCTTTGGCTTGGCCAGCATTCAATACATCATTAGACGAGGAATTTGTGTTTTTCTCAAGATGGTGCCTCCTGGGTTCCCATCATGAGAACGTCCCGCAAGTTCATCGCTTGCCCCTTTAAAGGCCTCCCAAACGATTAAACACAAAACATTTGGTGCTACGCGAGCAAACTTCCTGTTTGCCCTGAAAGCTGGCTTTGGGGGCCCCTGGCACCAGTACTTAATAAGTTGCGCAGCTTAAAACTTTATCGGACATTGCCATTTGGAGCATTTGTTGGGCCTGGAATGGGGTGCACATGGATGACTGAAGTGGAGAATGAAAACTCCGGAACAAAGGCCCGAAACAGAGACGCCTAATATGAGTTTGCTTTCGAGAGCCGAATCTAAATTACAACATGGTGATCTTTTTTACGGCGAGGGAATTTGTTGCAGGGCTCGAGACTGCCGAGGATAGGTTGCAAAGGCAACGGAGCAGCACTGACAAGGTCCTTGCGCAGCTCTCGGACTTGGTGCGACAAGCCTTGGACCTTACGGAACGAGGCGTGCTGGAGCGCAAGCACAAGGACTGCAAAGATTTGAGAGGGTTGCTCCGAAGCGTGCGGAAACGAGGTAGCACATTGGTTCTCTTCTTTGTATGCCCTTTCTAGGGTCCAGTGTCCTACCCTTGCGTGAACCCTGCCAAACAGGGAACTGTGGGTGGAAGACGCGTTGAGGAGACCACCACCAGAAAACACGTGGAGGCATAACCAGACAGAGACCATGGAAGTGTCCGCAGGAGTGCGCTATGTCCTGCACATTTACAAGTTCCGGGGATAAAAAAAAGAACAATTCATGGAGCGTTCATTCTCGCGCATGTGTTGTGTTTGCTTGACGTTCGTGTTAGATTCAGGCATCAACTGTGTGTGTGGGTTAGTTTAGCTTGAGTGCGCAAGATACGGCGGCACTATGGGCAGCAGAACTCTAGCTGCAAAGCAGCCATGTAAGCGTAACCCACCAACAATCGTGCGAGCGGAAATCGGGAAGCCATCTCTAGATTTGTAGGGGATATCACCTTTATCCAACTCAGGCATGCGAGAGATTTGGGTCCTCAATCCCCAAAACCCTTGCTTCTTGTTTGATCGGGGGTGTTTTGGGAGGCAGCGAGCCGCTTCCACCGTGGCTGACATTCAACTACACATGAGGATCCAACGCCAAAGCTGTCTTTGACACTGGTTTGCTTTCCCTTGAAAGAATGCCAGCAGTATTGATATTGAGAGCAATGCCAGAAGGAACGCCACCATTTTGGATTTTGGGGGTCCCCTATATGGCGCATGGCACGGGAGTACCCTTTTGGGGCTGTTGTGCCGAAATAGAACAAAGCTTGGTTCATACCTTGATGTATCGGCAAACCTCCTTTGCGGCAGCCGTTGGGGTAGGCGTGCCTTTTTTGTGGCACCCTCATGTGGGAACCTGACAAGAGATCTCTGAAAGAAAAGGTTTTCCTCTTACGGTGACGGTCTGGCGAGTTCCATGTTTTTTTTGTTGGTGGCAGGTTGTGCTGTTGATTCGCTTACCAAGATAACCAGCAACCGATTGGAGGCTGTTCCATGTTCAAAGGCGTCTTGCGGCCTGGAGCGCTTGTATTGCGATCCCCCGGATGAACAAACTACCCGCCCCGTCAGGCCATGGCCAGCGCTAAACAACCCGCATGTTGTGAATTGTTAAAGGTTCCTACAGGAAGGCACGGAAATATATGGCATGAAAAATGTGTTGTTCTTGTTCTTGTTCTTGTTCTTGTTCTTGTTTGGGTTTTTTGTTCTTGTTCTTGTTATTGTTTTTTCTTGTTATTATGTTGTTGTTGCCGTTGCTGTTGCTGTTGTTGTTGCTGCTGTTGTTATTGCTGCTGTTGTTGTTGTTGTTGTTGTTGTTGTTGTTGTTGTTGTTGTTGTTGTTGTTGTTGTTGTTGTTGTTGTTGTTGTCGTCGTCGTCGTCGTCGTCGTCGTCGTCGTCGTCGTCGTCGTCGTCGTCGTTGTTGCGTTGTTGATGACCCCCTGTTTACAGCCCAGTGTTGCAACAAAGGAGATGAGAGAGCACCACAACAGTAAAGCACTCCCCTGGCCTACAATATGTTCTTGCAATGTAGAACACGTGATTTGCACGGAACAACCTGCAGTTCATATGAACAAGTGACAATCTGACCATATGCGATTGATTTGGGGAGGACGAGAAGGGGGGACAACGATTCAAACGCATGCCCCACTTAGACCAAGGGCGTATGTGTGTGTGTGTGTGAACTTGTAATTGCAACTGATCAGTGCAGCATGTGAAATGATCGAGCAGCAGGTCCGCCTCATATTTTTAATTCCTCTGGCTTTTCACGGTCAAAACTATGATATGACCCCGCGGACCATACTAATTACTATAGTAATGTGGCCTATTTGCGTGATACCCGCGAGTCCATGACGTGTTGGTCCCAGGATATCTTCACCTGGCATCAGGAGTTCTCCGTGGGCATTGTGTTGCAAAGAGGCTTGGTGAACGATGCCATTAAGCACACGATCCCCACGTGGATGGGCCGCTATGCGACTGTTTGCGCCACACCAGATACCGGCTATCACGTACTTATGGACAAGCTTCTGAAGAGCATTGTGCAGGCGATAGGCTTGGCCTCGGAGGGGCTGGACCTGTCACCTGAGCCTGACCCGTTTGGAAAGGTGGAACGTCTCGAGCGCTGTAGCTTGGTATTGCGGTTCAAAGAGCACATCGGCAGGGAGAGGGCCATGCTGGCAGCGAAAGGGGAATCTAGGTGGGCTCAGGAGGTTGAGGATCGAGCAAAGCGCCTTTTCGGGGAGACGACTGACGGCACAAAGGAGTTGTTGCAGTCGATTTTGGAGGACAAGTTGCTAGGCCACGCAACGGAGAGCAGAGTCCTTGTAGATGCTTTGACAGAGATGCACGGGCTTTACGAGAAGGAGGTGAAGAGCGATTTCACGATCCCGGCCGAAAAAGCTGTTCACTGGTTCGAGATTCTAACGCGATGGATTGACTTTGCGTACGACCACATGCAGACTGAGATCGAAGCCCTCGGCGAAGATCTTCCAGCAGACAACGTTGCTCTTCCACGGGTTGACGTTGACTTGCGAGTGAGACTGCAGGATGACGTAGGCGATGAGGATTTACGCCTCCTGCTTTCTGATCTCAGAGCAGGCAAGTTGCAGAGAATTGTTGTGATGGCCGGCGCTGGCATCTCTGTGTCCGCGAATTTGCCTGACTTCCGGTCGAAGGGCGGCCTCTACGACCAGTTGCGGCAGAGCACCAATATCAGCTTGTCAGAGAGCATCTTTAGCCAGGACTTCCTGCATTCTGACCCTCAGGTCTTCTTCGAAGTGATGCAGAAGCTTCGTGCAGATACTACGTCCCCAACGTTGACGCATCACTTCATAGAGCAGCTGCAAGAGAAGAATCTGTTGCAGCGATGCTACACACAGAACATCGACTGCCTGGAGCGCAGAGTTGGCATTGAAGCCCAGTCCAATAGCAGAAACCACGTATGTTAGGCATGTTTTTCCGTCGGTTCCCTGAACATGACCAAGGAAACAAGTTTCCTGTTATCTGAAATCATTGCGGGCGGGCGGCTTCTTTCAGTAGGCACACTTTCACTGCATCGCGCAAAGATGACACTTGCAAAAGCTCCAAGCCTTGTTGGTCCGCGCACTTTCTTGCAAGACCACAGCGCCAACGCGGGAGGGGAAAAACACTTTCCACTGGAGAAACCTACCTAAGCCATAAAGAGAACCAAGACTTGCCAAGCGACAAGGTGTTCAACACCTGCAGGTTCTCCTCTCTGTAGCACAGAACGGCGCGGAGAGCATGTTTGGACTGACAATTGTGCCCCAACAATCAGACAAACTTGCCATCAGGCCGGCCGGCGTTGCATGTTCGCATTCAGACTATTTGGGCACTGCCCACTTGCTCGGTGCGCTTGACCCGAAAGCCTTGCATGGAGAAGACTTGTGTGTAACGGGCTCACACAAAACAAGTTTGCGCAGAGTGCAAACAGAAAAACAGCCTTTGCAGACTCGTACAAAGACAGCGCCGAGCCCAAGCTTCCTTCTGCGCAGAAAACATGCCAAACTCGATTTCGGCCCACACCCACTTGTGTGAATGTGGCACACTTGCGCTTTTGGACGGGTCAGATGAACTGGGCAAGTAAGGGAGAGGATCTCTTGGTGGAATGCCACGGCACGACCGCGCGGGCGAGGTGCAACGAGTGCAGTGAGGTGTACAGCAAGGAGCACTACTTCAAGAACGCCACGCCGCCGAAGTGCCGCTGCGGTGGACCCATTCGCCCAGACATCGTCCTCTTCGGCGAGGCGTTGCCGGACCGCTTTCAGAAGCTCTCGAAGGAGGACTTCCAAAGCGTAGCTCGGGCGAACTTTGAGCTTTTGATGACTTGTTGAGTGACTGCGGGCCCCAAAACCGAAATGGTGTTTATTTTTGCTGTCGGCTTGTCCTGCAGAGGGGGGAGCCCCCTGAGAAATGGCCTTAAAAGATACGAAGCTTCAAGACTTTGTTGAGATGAGGGATTAGCAGCCATTGGCCAATGTTGCCTTTTTAATTGCCAGCTGCTATTTAGAAGCGTCATTTTGAAGATATCCATTTCATGGACTTCTCTAATTTGTTTTGGCAAGGCAGATCTTGTGATCGTCATGGGCACCTCCTTGAAAGTGCAGCCCTTCGCGTCGCTTCTGAAGCTCATCAAACCGGGCTGCGCGCTGCTGTTGATCAATCGCGAGTTCCCGCAGAGCCTGCAGCTGCACCGCCAGGCGCGGGGAAGGGAAGCGAGAGCCAGCGGGTTTGTTTGGTTTGCGGGCTTTATTGTTAAAGGCAGTTGACAGACGGCGTGATGCAATTCTTTAGGGCAAGCATCGCACCCACTCCACTGATTGCTGTGACATCTTTTTAAAGGCTGTCTTTCCCTTTCAGAGACACATTCAACACTTGTCCATTGAAAACAAAGACACCTTTTCCGAAAAAGTGCTGCCCGCTCAGAAAGAGAGCCTTTGCATCTCCGCACGCCCATGTTGATTGATGCCCTAAGACTTGAAGAAAAAGCACGATTGGAGGGATGGTTATCATTGATCATGTACCTCATGGGCGCATACGTATTGCAAACTCTTACATGTTTCACAACTCTGCAAAATGTAGAGATCTTCTTTATCGATTTGCTCGCCAGGTGCGCGCCCTGCGGTGCCGGCTCAGCGGCACGAAGCTCCGGCGGCAGGTCTTCCTGGCCGGGGACTGCGACACCAGCAGCTCGGAGCTCGCGTCTTTTAAGCGAAGCCGACTTTTTTGCCTTTCACTTTAGGACTCGGAATTCAGATGTTGTTGTTTTTATTCCCGAAAGCATTGCGAAAGGTTCTTCCGTGCGGAGCTCTTGGTCAACTTGCGCAGAGTAGCTTGCACAGAGTCACCAGCATGGAGATACCAGCATGGAGATACTTGCGCAGAGTTACTAGCACAGAGTAGCTTGCACAGAGTTACCAGCATGGAGACACTTGCACAGAGTCACCAGCATGGAGATGCCAGCATGGAGATACTTGCACAGAGTCACCAGCATGGAGTCACCAGCGCAGAGTTACTTGCGCAGAGCCAAGTGCGAAGAGCCAAGCGCATAGAGCCAAGTGCTCAGAGCGAAGCGCAAAGAGCGAGGTGCAAGGAGCCAAGTGCACAGAGCTAAGTGCACAGAGCCAAGTGCAAAGAGCGAAGTGCATCGAGCCAGGTGCATAGAGCCAAGTGCATAGAGCTAGGTGAATAGAGCTAAGCTAAGCTAGGTTTAGAGGCTCGGCGGATCGGTATTAAGAATCTCTTTTAAGGCGGGGGGTGGGGATGTTGCCGACGATCGGGAATGCGACCCTCTGCGGGGATCGGCGTGGTCGAGGTGCAAAACCTCAAAGTTTTTTGCGTTTTTTGATATGCCCGCGCGACCCTCTGCGGAGATCGGCGTGGTCGAGGTGCAAAAACTCGCGTTTTTTTAAATATGCCCGCGCGACCCTCTGCGGGGATCGGCGTGGTCGAGGTGCAAAAACTCGAGGTTTTTTGCGGTGCCCGCGCGACCCTCCGCGGAGATCAGCGTGGTCGAGGTGCAAAAACTCGTGGTTGTTTTTGCGTTTTTTGCGGTGCCCGCGCGATCGGCGTGGTCGAGGTGCCAAAACTCGAGGTTTTTTGCGTTTTTTGATATGCCCGCCCCTCTGCGGGGATCGGCGTGGTCGAGGTGCAAAAACTCGGTTTTTTGCGGTGCCCGCGCGACCCTCTGCGGAGATCAGCGTGGTCGAGGTGCAAAAACTCGTGGTTGTTTTTGCTTTTTTTGCGGTGCCCGCGCGATCGGCGTGGTCGAGGTGCAAAAACTCGAGGTTTTTTGCGGTGCCCGCGCGACTCTCGAGGTTTTTTGCCGTGCCCGCGCGACTGTCTGCGGAGATCTTGCGTGTCGAGTGGCGCCGCGCGAATTCTTCTTAGTCTCGGCGAACCCTCTGCGGAGATCGTGCGTGTCGAAGCGCTCTCGCTGTGGCGCCGTGCGATTTTGTTGCTCGCGAAATGGCCTTTGGAAGTTGTCTCGTGGTTTGCGCGCCTGCTTTCGCAATCCCGCGGTCGGGTTCGATTCCCCCCTGGTCCGCGGCAGCTCCGGCTTGAAAATCGCAGCTTTTAAGTGCAAACGTAGCACGCGGAGCGTGCTCCTGCAGCTCCGGCTGGAGAATCGCAACTTTTAAGTACAGACGTAGTAAGCGGAGTGTGCTCCCGCAGCTCCAGCTGGAAAATCGCAACCTTTAAGTACAAACGTAGTACGCGGAGCACACTCCCGCAGCTCCGGCTGGAAAATCGCAACTTTTAAGTACAAAAATAGTACGCGAAGTACATTCCCACAGCTCCGGCAGCACTTGCGCAGAGCAACTTCCGCAGAGCAACTTGCACAGAGCACTTGCACAAAGCACTTGCGCAGAGCAACTTGCACAGACCAACTTGCACAGAGCACGTGCGCCAAGCGCTTGCACGGAGCAACTGGCGCAGAGCACTTGCGCAGAGCAACTTGCACAGAGCACTTGCGTGCAGCAGCTTGCAGAGAGCAACTTGCGCGCAGCAGCCTGGAACAGTGCAGCTTGCGCAGACCACTTTCGTGAGAAATCGCGCGGCGCAGTTCGTGCAAAGCACATTGCGCCGAGCAGACTCGTGCAGAGCCAACTTGCACAGAGCCAGTTACGCAGAGCCACTCGCGAAAAGTAGCTTGCGTAGAGCCAACTTTCACAGAGCCAAGCTGCGCAGAGCCATCTTGCACAGAGCTAAGTTGCGCGAGCGTGCTTTGCAGAAACTGTGGCCGTCGTGTAAGCTTTGCTATTGATTGCTTTTCCTTTTGCTTGTATTTCGTTTCGAGCTTTACGAGCTTTACTCTTCTTGCTTTAACGGATGTAAATATGTGGGATCGAGCACTGCCATGTTTCCTCTTGTAGGACGATGAGATGGAGCTCTCATGTGACCAGACACATTGAGCATCGCCGCGTGCAGACACGCTCGCCGCAGCGATGTAAAAAGGTGTCTCCGCGGCTGGATGAGCACCTGGGGAAGAATGCTTTCGGGCCAATCGTCCTCTAGTTGTTTGCTTTGTTTTTACAAGCTTCAAAGTTGAGCGATTCTCCAGACGTTTGCCGATATTTCCCTTTAACAACAATTGGGAGGGTAATTTCAAAAGGGCGCTTGACCCATATTGATGAAAACTTACGGGACATATGGTTGGTTCGTTGGAGAATTCCTGAAAATGTTCCCAGATCTCATTCTCAAAATTTCTGGGACCCAGATGCACCGAGGTGTCCGATGGCTCATGCAGGAGGTTGGATGGACGTTTCACCAGAGTATATCTGTCTAGCAGACAGCCGTTTGCTTTTGTCCTGGCTGCTCCCTGGCCTGCGG